GGATTGGTCCTAGAGAAGTAAATTAAGCATAGAGCTCTTTTCTGGTGGATCAAGATTTTTTTAAGATTTGTCTTAGAGGTTTGGCCCCAAACCACAAGGCCATAAGAAAGATGTGGATGGATAAAGGAATTAAAAATATTGAGAAAAACAGAAGTTGGTAAGACGTGTCTCAGTTTTGCGATAATACCTACGGTTTTACTTATTTTGAGTGCCATCTTAGACACATGATCACTCCATAAGAGATTGCTGTCCATCAAGACACCGAGGAATTTTACAAATTGTTTTCTTTCCAGATTTCTAAAAGCTTTATGTTCATTGTGAAATACTTTTAGATTTATAGCCGAGCTAGTTCTCCGTTGATAAGGATTAAATATTTTATAGTTGATTTTTTGGTATTTAAGGTTAATTTATTAGCTAGCAACTAGTCGCAGACAGTGGTTAACTCTTCATTGACAACCGATTCTAATAATGATAATGATTTATCTTTACACAAAAGATTGGTGTCATTTGCTAAAGGGAAGAACTCAAATTTACTCGAAGAAGCCGAGATATCATTAATATACAATAAGAATAATGGCGGACCAAGAAAAGATCCTTGAGGTAAACCACAAGCTGTCGTCTCCTTCTTCGAGATCTTGGTTTCAATTTGCGTTGTTTCGAATCTCCCTGTTAGATATGAGCAGGACCATTTGTTGACAATACCACCTATTCCATAATGATGTAGTTTATAGTGCAAAATATTGTGGTCAGCTTTTCGTAAATTAATGAAAATGTTACAAGAAAAAAATTTTTCGTCCATATATTTGTATTTTACCTACAATATTTAACAGTGCATGTTCCGTAGAGCAATGAGCAATGTTTGCGAAACCCATATTGCGATGGACATAAAATTTTATGCTTGATAATAAAGTTATTAATTCTATTATCCATTAATTTTTAAAAAATTATGTTAGTGTTAGAGAGGAGAGAAATAGGTCTTTAGTTTCCAGGATCAAGTTCACCATCATTTTATAGACAGGAACCATCTTAGCGTGTTTTAACTTTGATGGGTAAATACCTTTTTGAATGGATAAATTCATAGTACTTTCTGGTGGGTTTGATAGAATAGAGCCACCATATCTGAATATTTTGACTGGAAATGAGTATGGGCCTTATTTATCGGCAATGACAAGATTTCACGTTGTATTTCATCAGGTGTAATTAGATTAAAAAAAAAAAAAATGAGGAGAAAGCATAAAATTATTAGCGATTGCGCAGCTTTCAAACCTAAGGAGGTTTATGTTGAAGTTCCCCATTATATATATTTGTTTGTCAAAGAAACTCTATTTCTCATCAGCTGAATCAAAATACTCTGGACACTTCTTAGGAGAATTATGTTGTCTCTATATAATTCCACAAAGAACATTTTTCTTTGAAAACTGAATTTCAATGCACATTGCTTAGTTAGATATTGTAGAAATTTCTTCTAAGATACTAAATTTGAATTGATCATTTATATACGTTGCAACGCCCCCAGCAGAAAGAGGCGTCGGATCATTCTCAAAAGAATATCCAGGGATATTTGGATTGGATGTAAGATAACTTCCGCTGGTAATGCGTGTTTCAGTTGGTCCAATTACCTAACTCGTGAAGCAAATGATTTGAAAGTCTTCAAGATTCTTACTCAGGCTTCTTATATAATTGTGGAGGATAAACAGGCAATTTTTTTATTTAAGTTTTCTGATACATTCTGCAAATTTATAAGGAGAATAGTATTTACAATGAATTTGATCGCGTAAGACATTACAATCAGGGTTTATGTTTGAATTATGGGTATTCAAAGTAAAAAGGTCAAGGTCTTAAATGCTTGATAATCGTTCTAGAGAATTCCTAATAGGTAGATGGCAGGGTAAGCTATTGTTAAATTGTCCATGAGAAAGAATAATATATTGTCTGTAATAGCTGAGGAAGTTCATCAGTTATTGAACTACTGTCTCTGAAATGAATAGTCGATAAAGATGTTATCAAAAATGAAGTAAACAAACAAACACAAAGTTAAATAGGTTACACGAACTTATCTTCGTCACATCTGCGAGGAATCTCCAAGTCGTTCATGTATTTCAGTTGAATATCTTGCGACACCCTTGTAGCTCTAAGGAGAATTGTTGAGCCCTTCGCCTAGCAAAATTCATCTCTGAAGGTCGACTGAAACTGTTTTGCTTCGTCGCAACAATTACTGGAGACACGGAGTTAGATGTTCGAAGACAGCCAAATGACTGCTGGTGTGCGCTGTACCCAGCCCTAGTTTTACACGATCGAGGGATATCTTTTCTTTTGGCTGATGATCAAGTGTAGAAAGGATCAGCTATTCTGCCTTATTGAACCTCTTTGTCGAGCTTATCGTCGACTGCCATAGGATTATTAAGGGCTGAAAAACCACGGTTGGACGAAAAATGACGTATTGTTTTGATCGAGCAGGGTATCCATCGAGATAGGCCTGCAATTTATCGAGTTTAACTGGTGTTGACAGCGGACGAGACAGGGCGGGATGATGAGACGGATTTGTTTGATGGAACTGTTCCAGCTCTTTTGAACGCATTTTTTTTATGAAGTGATCGTTGCCGGCTGGGAACAGTGCATTTCGTCACTGGGTGTTGAATTCTATATTTGAAACACTAATGTTTGAAGTTGCAGCCAGAAATGTTTTCGCCTCGATGAAATTTCCACCAGAATCCAGATGGAAAGGGCTGACCAGAAGTTCTGGTGCGCGGTTGTGATAACACCGTGAGAAATGTTTTGGTGCCCCTGTATGTTAGTAAAGCGGGGGCCTTTAGAAAAACACACCGATCATATCGCCACAATGTTTGAAAAGCCGTGATCCATCGATAAACGGCGGCAATACGTTTGGGCTTGAGTTCTGGTTCGAGATTAGTGACCGGCCGATCAGTGGATGGCGACGATTTAACAATGAAATCGAACCTTTTGTCACTTAAAGATGACTAAATTATATGTATTCATTCGACTAGATTCTGGATTGCAGTTTTTCTGATAGTCGCATTGCGAGCGGAACAGCAATTTTGTTTTGAACATTCTTTGGGAGGTAATTGTTCTCGACCAAAGAATCTGTTGTGAAAAGAAAATTAATCGTTATAGTTTTATGCTGAGGTGAATTTTTCTCACCCGTAATGTTCTGAATCAGAGCTGCGACCGACCCCTGTGCAGAAGCAGCTCGATTCGTGTTCCCGAAGTAGGAGCCGAGCGACCTTTGGTGACAATTGCTGCCACTTTTAATGGCCCCGATCACCGCCCCTGAGATTATCGTTGCAATATTCTCCAGAGGCAGAGACGGCTAGACAGGTTCGTTACTTGCCAACGGAATGCGTTCGAGTTGACTGGGATGGTCGATAAAGAAGCTGAAGTTGATGAAGATCTTTTATAGGACGTGGATGGGCGTATATGGGGCTACGTACTCGCCGTAGTTGACACTGAAGGATAAACAAGCGATTTTCCTTGGGTCAAAAAATATCGGATGTAGATTAAATGTCCATATTTACAGAAAAAATTATGTAACCCAAGAAAGGGTCAAGGAGATCACGAAAAAACGCAGGAGTAAAACTTAAAACTTCGTAAAAGCAAAAGACGAATTAATTAATACATGAAAAACGACAATAGATTTGGCGAGCTCGTAAAGGAAGAACTACCGTTACGAACATTCGATTAAGTCGCTAAACTAAGGGAAAATGTTCATTACACAAAAGATAACTAGGTCTGAGCAAGAGATTAAGTTATGGGTTCAAAACGGGACCTTATTAAGCTAGGGCGTGAGTGACTGACCCTCAATGGGAGGCAATGTCTTGAGAGGGTATAAGACAGCGCCCCGAAATCTTCTAAACAGAACTTACTGTCCCTTGCAGTTGAGTTGCACCCTGACCCCACAAAGAATGGGAATCGATGGGCTACGAGTTCCATTATGACACCAAAAAGTGGCGACCATGTTTACCAACTGATTAAAAAGTGTGACACGATCATTGAATAAAGAGGTAACCCTTAGACAAACAATATGTTTAGTAGTCTGACGAATATATTTTAGACAGTATTGGCTATGGAATACCTGCCCCAGGGACTCTATTTCAGAGCCCAAAATCCAAGGTTTGACCTTTGCATGGCATAGGTCGTTAGCACCTATTCATAAAATGGTAATTTAGCGTTATCAACTGACTTGATAACGTATATTGGCGACTGTGAAGAGTTTGACCCATTAACTCTTTACGGTGGCCAATTTACGTTATCAACTCAGATGATAATACTAAATTATCCTGCCGACGGAGCACCACAGTTCCTTTAGAAACTTGCCCGCTTTATTTTTAAAATGGCCACCTCGGGTCTTAAACGCGTGAGGTTTACAAGTCATAATTACACAATACACACACAAAAAACGAGGAATATACTCAACACGGAAAAAAAAGAGAAGATGTGATACGTTTTAAATGTGCTGAGTGTGCCAGGTCTGAGGAAAATTTGGACGAACTCGAGAAACATGCCGCGTCATATACTGAACGCTGGAGACTTTCCAGCAAAATTCGTGACGTCTGGGCAAAGAACAGTCCATTTTTATGAAAGTCACCTGATAGTCTTGTGATTATTGCTCAATCAATTTCGGATGCTACGACCCTGTCCCCCTTTAGTTTGACCCTTAAGTACTCCCTGCCTTTTCTCATTGACTTAGTATCTCAGGTAGAAATTAACAATAAACCAAGAGTAGGAGACAAAGTCTTTCATGTAGGGGGCAGGTAAATTTATAACTGTTTACAGAGACATCTGGCCTGTATGAAAAGAAAGCAGACTGGGAAAATAAATCCTGAGAAATAAACTAAGAACGCGGAACAAGCACAGATACACCGCCTAGATCTGATTAACGAGAGGGTGTGTCTTGGCGCATAAAGTGGCGTCTCCAAAAACTATGTAATTGAACTATAATCCGCTAAATATTTTGAAATGTTTCCATACCTGGCCAGGCAAGCATGAAGTGCAAAGGTGAACATTATTCAAACAGCCTGAGTTATAAATACCTTCATTTGCACTTGAGCACTCTGGAGGATCGACATCAAACAATGGGGGTATCTTTCTGCATCAGCGTTCTCATTGTGTTCATTTGGAGCAATCTTACATTCGGGCCTGTGCAGAGTCGAAGCTTCTCTGGAATTCCTGATGAATCGAAGTTAACTGGTCAGATTATGGTGGGTCTCTGTTTGAGGAGATGTGGCCTCAGCTTTCAAGCATTTAACGCAAAAATTTATCGAGAAGAGGTAAAATCTAGCAATTCTTACAATTGCATTAATGTTAAGTTTGGTACGATAATAACCCTTATCATATGAAATATAGATAGAAGAACCTCAGAAATCGAAATTTTCGTCGAGAGTTCCGTGTAGATCTACACGGAAATCTCGACGATTTTTGTTGTAGACTTGATATGTTCATGAGTTGTGCATGTAAGGCTAAAAGCCAGGTTGGCTGGTTATCAGGACGAATTTGTCTGCCATTTAGATGGTCCGGCCTGATTAGCAAGCTGTTCATTCGGGAAATCGCACCTCACTTGCGCCGAAATCAAGAAAAGGCTCTTTATTTAAAGTTTCATCCCAGTAGCAAGGAGAGTGAGAAAAATCTGAAATCGCAGGCCCGGGCTAGCCCGCCTTTTTTCATGAAAACATCAAATTTTGTTTAAAGAGAGAACGTTGTGGTAACAACCCTGGAGTAGACCCAATTCAGGTGACGGGTACGCACACGTATCACTGGGAAGGCCCTTAAGTTAATTAAACGTAAGTATCTTAAGCCCTTGAAACTGGATTTCGAACACTGTTCGCAAACCATTAGTTTCGAGTAACAAGATTACTCACGCGATCGCATTTGTGAACAATCGTTTCTAGGACAATCGTGAGCGCAAATCATCAACCATCTCTCCCACCAAGAGAATATAATTACTCTCTTGCCCCCAATCACTTCCATTCAAAGCCAAAACTTTGAAAATTCAAAACCGTCATTGTAGGAAATCGGACAATTTCTTGTCTTATATTTATACACTAAACTTTAAATGACTCGTAGTCTAGTTCCATATCTTTGTCTTGCATGTAAGTAGCATCTAAGCTTTCTAAGTATGACGGTACTGCATTCAGCTGATTAATTTTTTTAGCCCTTAGTAGGGTGTAAATCTCGTGGTGCAATTAAAAAAATTAGTTTTCTTTCAAGCGAATCCTGATGTTGGTGTGTCTTGCAGTTGCCACTGGATCATTTCTGTTACACAAAATGCATTGGGAAGGAAGGTATGAACTTAAATGACACAAATGGGTTGTTAGTTCCCAAGAGTTCGATTATTCAAAAAAAAAAAAAAACTGATGGTGTTGCGATCTTGTTTTAGCAACCACTCTTCGCTGAGGAAAATATTTCAATCACAATTTTTATCTGTCTTTCTCATAATCTCCATGTTCCCTCTGTCATGAGAAAAAACGGTCGCTCTGTCAGTTTATTGGTTCCTCGGTCGGACTGTTAGATAAACGGTTTGAGAGCTAGTCTACTGGTCGAATTTGTTTGCCAGAAAATCATGAGTCAGTCTCCTGCTCAGTCAAATCTTAGCGGAACAGTGATTTTTTCCAGAATTATGTTCCTACCCACTTTTTTTGGCCTCGCAACCATAGACAGGCGTTGGGTTGAGCGACAGTGTTTTTGTTAATGAATCAGTGGGAATTGTCAATGCTTTAGCTTTTTTGTTTTTTCAACAACGATCAATTTACTCAAGAAAAGTGTTAAAAAGCAGACAGTTTGAAATAAAAAGGTGTCTGTATGGATAGGACCGAACTTTTATGTACCCCCTCAGTTACTTGTAGAAAAATATTTAGCCTTGTTCGAGTTAAAGACTCTTGAGCTGAGGCAAATTCTACCTCAAGAACCACCCATGCATTTACTTTAAAAACTACTCATGCATATTTCATTTACTACTCCCTCGCCGATAGGGAAGCATAATTCTTCAGTGAAGGAGCGAAATCACTTGTTCAATCCGCATAACACGCCTTCCTTCGAAAGAATCAAACGAGGTAGGTTACTGGATATGTTAGCACATGGCGAGAATGGACTCGAGCTCTAAGAATAGAATCAGATATCTTACGAAGAAAACTATATATAATTGCACATTGAGGGAAAGATGTTTAACGTAGGCAAATCACCTTTCTAAGACGCCTTCACCTCAACAACTCTTATCTACAGGGTGTTGCAAGAGGTCTTTCCCTTTTTCTGCAAAGCTATATCTTACTTATATCTTGTCTTAGATAAGAGAAATTGAAAAAAGTTATCGTTGTTATTGTATTTCATGTTGTGGTTTTCAACTTTGCTTACTGATTTCCGGAAATTTATTGCTATCTTAGATGCCTCTAACAGCGTAAAAAATCAGACGTCCTCAAACACGTCAGGTATTGTCAGGCGCCCATTACTAGTATTGTTAACATTTTTGAACGAAATAATTGATTACACAAGTAACAACCTTTTTTAGCCTAACAATTCTGGAATGACATGTGTTAAAGTTGCACAAATCCACTCTTCTACCATGTATTTATCTCTCTTCAAATGCACAACAATCTACAAGAACGCGAAACAGTGGAGATGATGCTCATTTTTGTGTCCTTATGTTAAAAAACAAATAGACAAATAAATGAGTTTTAATCTCTCCATGCAGTTGTTCCAAACGGCGAAAGAATCAAGCCGACATCTTTCAACGCATTTGGTCGAAGTAAGTTTAAAATAGACTGATTGTATTTTCTTGACAGACAAGGATCATGATGAATAACGAACGCGTTCTTCTTCCGTCTTGACATACAATCATACAAAGAAACTGATGTAACAGTAGACACTTTAGATGATTTAGCTGCATACACACTCAAACGCTACCAGTAATCAAATTACTTCACTTGCTCTCCCGATCCATCTCTCTTAGGGCCACTAAACTTTATATTTGGAACACAATCTGACGATAGCAAAATGAAAAAAAAGGGAAAAAGGGCGTTAATAGGCTTATTGCATGTTTAGTCAAATTAAAATCTGATTCGAGTGGCGACAGTACTCAACGACAGATAGCTGCGGGTGTTGGTGGAAAAACATGTAATTCTCATCCTAAGAGGTCTTTTCAGAACTTTCTCTCTCTCTGTCTAAAGGGGGTAAGTTTCTAAAGAAACTGTGGTCCTGTGTCGGTGGGGGAGAATAGCAAGACTATTTGATTTAATAAAACAATTGAGTCGATAATGTAAATTGGTCAACGTCATTCGCTTTGACGAAGAGCTAACGCTCGAGATGTCAGCTTTCGAAACTCTTTACGGTGTCCAATTTACATTATCAACCAAGTTGATAAAACCAAATTATCTTGTCTCTCTGTCTGCTAGTGCCCTAATTAATTTTGTAGATAATCTCTCTAAGTTAATTGCTAATTTAATATTTCATCTGTTTATTTTTTTTCTTATCAAACTAGAAGTGTCAGACGGGTGATATTTTTAATTTTGAAATTAAGCAATAAATCTCGCTATTTATATCAGAATGGTTACAAAAATGCTTGATGAACAAGCCAAGAGCTGAAAAGTCGTTCACTGCCGATGACGTTAAGGTGACATATGAAGAGCTTAACAGCACGGGGAGGTATATAGCAACGCTGTCATGGACACCTTTTGATAGTAAGTGGAATACTAATATTGTTTACGCAGTAATAGAAGCGAAGAAAATTTTGAGTAAGGATAATTCTGTAGAGGCTGCGCAACGTCAATTCGTTTGCGTCAAAGAAAAGGTTAATGGGCCAGTGTTGCGCCATTGCACACTTGATGAGCGTTTTCTCATTTTTTAACCCTTTTCAAGTGGATGACATAAGAAAGTAAGAGCGAAAATTATGTTAAAATTAGAGGTAAAGAATATAGAAGGTTCCAGCGATCTTTGTTTCTTTCAGTTCAAGCGGCTAATTGGACCGGATACGGAATAATATACGAACTTTTGGATCCCTCCAGCCCGAGTCAACGTGTGTATGGCCTGTGTCAAGAATTGGACAAGGTGAGGTCGTCAAATCAAGTAAATGTAGTGCATACACCATATATTGTATAACACTGATTCACAACTTAAACGTAGAGGTTGTTCGCGAAATATCTCGCTTATGTGGATTTCTTCGAAAACAACGACGATGATTTCTTGACTGAGAGAGATTTTGAGCTCTTTCTTCGAAAGACAAAAGATGCTAACCATTTTTTATAAGCGCACGAAAAGAGAGAAAAATCTTAATCCCCTTGATGACTCGAACCCTTTGTTACTGAGTTACAGAGGACCTTTTTTTTTCAGTCTAACGAATGATACTTACTTCTTTGAGTAATAAAAACCATTTAGGACGTCTGCAAATGATTTGAAGCCCTATATTTTTCCGAGGCATTAAAATGTATTGACCAGATAATTGCTTTTGGAAAAAATCTTGAGAAAATAATAATGCTCAAGAAAGTAAGGTTTGATTATTTACACAAAGTTTAGCCGTTGTTTTACAGAACCGCGTCTTAACCATCCTCAGTTAGGCCGAACCCGATTTTTGTTCTGAACTTTTCTTTTTGTGAACAGTTTCAAGAGGGCCCAAAAGCGATAGGGGAAGGACATTTATTTAATAAACTCAACCCCGTATAGAGAAATTGTGAGGCCCACTGATTATTTAACACCGTGGTTTGGGTTAGATCTCGTGTAAATAACAGGTCCTGAGGGTTCTTAGGCGTGTTTGCCTAATGAAAAATCTTTTTCGGTTTCAAGATTGAGACATATACAAAATAAGGTGATTTTATGAATAGTTTAATTATTAGAAATAGATTAGCACCACTTTCATGAAGAGTTTCGGGCCACATTGATTTTGTGATCTGTTCAATTTAGAACGCTACGAACTTTGCCATAACCAATTCTTCGTATGGACTGAAAAATGGTTCTTCCATTGCACATTACGTGAGTACCACAAACATGTATTTATGTACATCAGAAAATTACCGAAATAGACAGGTTAACCCTCATCCTCCTTAACATTGTGTTGTCGTTTGTCTCCATCTCGAGCTTACTACATGCTCCATGCTCTCTTCCAAATTTTGTCGCCAATAGCCGGGGCAAAACAGGGCCACTCTGCAGCTGTTTCGAAAATGTTTTTTTCGCCCTTCACACTCTTGGTAGATCCTAACGGCAAACCATTAATAATTGTAACCAGAGGAGAGAAGATCTTTTTCAGTGTGGTGCTGGATGAAGAAGTGAGGCTCAAAAACAAGAAAGAGGTCCTACTATCCACACTAATCTTTTGTATTTTGACTGTATTTTGACTGTATTTTGTATTTTAAAACTACTGAACGTTTTATATTTTGGAAACCACAGCTGTGACAACGAACAGCTGAGTGTACAAGGGTTTCGCCTTCCTTTTGTCAAGCAGAATAGCAATTTTATTAGTATTATCCAGATTTCATTGAACTCAAGAAGTGGGGAGAAACGCGAGACGTAGTCGTAGTCGTAGTCGTAGTCGTAGTCGTGGTCGTAGTCGTGGTCGTAGTCGTGGTCGTAGTCGTGGTCGTAGTCGTGGTCGTAGTCGTGGTCGTAGTCGTGGTCGTAGTCGTGGTCGTAGTCGTGGTCGTAGTCGTGGTCGTAGTCGTGGTCGTAGTCGTGGTCGTAGTCGTGGTCGTAGTCGTGAAGTCGTGTTCCTACACTTTTTTAGTGCTCTAGCCGCTTCCTGCGTGCTTAACAATAGAACAGTGCACGGACAAGGCTTCTCTATTTGTTAATTATAAAATGATATTTTTAATAATAATAATAATTATGACAATTATGTTAAAGAACAATGGTAGTAATGATAATAATAATAATAATAATAATAATAATAGTAGTAATAATGACAATGCATGATAAGAGAGGCTTGTCTATGAAACGTTTCTTTATTTTTTATCTTTAATCAGATTACCTCTCTTCCATATCCAGTTGAGATACCATTCTACTCCCTATTCAGTAAGTCTGGTGAACGTTCTAAGTTTAAAACAAGAAAATAAGCCCCCATCCGTTATTTTTTTTTGCGTTGTTTATTTTTTTTCTTGCGAGTTTTGAGGCAAAGTATAACGCGAGATAAAGAGAGATATATTTAATAATCAAACAAAGTCGTAGCAAGTCCGTAATAGGTAAAATGAACTTCACAAAGCCTTGCCTTTTGTTATTAGGTTCAACTTGTTATTTTCATTATCATAAGTCTTAGAATTATTATCATTTCGAATGAATACTTTGATATTTTTTCATCAGCCCTTTTTTCCTTTTCGTGGTGGGGTTTTAATTAAACTTATTGCTTGTGAGCAGAATCTATGCTTGAGTTTCACCGCGTAAACCTTTTTACGATAGCTAGATTTCTTGTTCTTTTAGTGGGTACGAATTATGCTTCTCTGAAAAATGCTTGACTGTTCATTTTGCAGCGTGCAAAGTGCCCAAACCGTGTTTTACGTTTTCAAGTAAGTAGTTGGGCTGAAAGCAGGGATTAATGCAAACAAATATAATATTCCCCTTATTGTTCATTACAATTTTTATCATATTCTTCGTACAACACATTGAAGTCGTTCATGCTGAAAGCCTGTAAGCTAAGCCAAGCGTGGTGTTAAGTAATGATTATTATTATTATTGACGTCTTTTGGTAGAAGCTTGTTAATCTGTTAGACCCTTCTTTCCTACTTTCCTGTCAAGAGATGGCTACTGATTTCGTGATGCAATTTCTATGGTACATTGTATGCGTGGAACTGTTGTTGTGCATAAATACGATCTATCTGTTTGTATATCCCTGACAGTACCGAGTTGCACGTGCGGTCTTTTACGATAATTATAAATTATCGTGTAACTATTTATGTATTATCGTAACCCCAGTTCTTTCCAAATTCTCTGCTAAGTAATCAGTTACCATTCCTAAGTCATGTTTATCAGCAGCTACTTATACTCCAGTCACTTTTGGGTACGCTATAACCGGCTAATCCTCTTCCCCAGATCTTGATACTCCACCGCTTTTCAATTATATTGGTAAGATAACAATATTTAGCCTTAAGATAACAATTATTCAGCCTTTTCTTTCCTTTTATAAAAAATTAAAAAGGTCTGGTCTTTGACTATGGATTTCATTGTCCACTTGTCTGGAAAGATCTTTCTTTCAGTGATAATATTTCGCTACTATCAATCTCCACTAATTCCCCGTCATGTATTCAGACAAGGTTCCGGAAGGGAATTGACTGTTAATGTACATTATTTGAGTTACGTACGATAACTCTTCTTTCTAACAGCTTAACAAGTAGTGCTCCTGTGTTCTTCTTCTTAAGCTGAGGCAATAGGGTTGCCCGATTTCTCCAGTTTTCACAAAATAGTAAGGCAGGATGGCAGAGTATATAGACTCACAATTTAAGTCTGAAAACTGTTAACGTACTTTTCTTCTCAAATTTTCTCTCTTGCTCTTTTATAGATCAACCAACTACACGTACAGGTAGGTTTGAAATCAACAGCCCTCACCATATCGACATTTTCTAGAGAAAGTTCCTTTCTTCAAGAGGAATTAGGAGCTCAAAGAGCGGCATTGAAGGCTTGAAGGCATCGGTTGGGATGTGTAGGTTTCACTTGAGTAATTTCTACAGACTTCCGTCTCTCTATTAGACCGAAGAAGAGAAAAAAAAGAGAAATTATATATTCATCTCAAGTAAAAATAATCAGTGACATATCCCAAGGTTCAGACGAGGAGTCTCCTTTTCAGGTTCTCTAATTTTTCTTGCTTTCTCTTTCTCACTGGTAAAAAATAAGGTGAATTGAATGAAACAGAGATTGATGGTATTGAGGAGCAATCATGAGCTCAATTTAAGTTAATAAGATATCATGTAACAATTAGATTCGTTTTTATACATAATCATAGTTGTTAATATTTGTAGTATTAGTATTCACAACATGTTCCGTGAGAGAACTGGTCAAATGCCTCACTATTTCCTACAGCCCTGATCTTTTTTCTCCTTTTGTAGGCTACGCGATTCAGTTTACAGGTATGTTTGAAAATTAACAGCCTTAAGCTACCATCGGTGCAAGGAACAATTTTTTTTAAATTAAAAGGCGACAAGTTGTATAAGTAATCTAAACAAATAGATAAAAAAGGAAGGGGTGGAGCCTTTGAATATGCAAGACTATTCGATTTAATTCCGTCCTTTCCTTACAACGTAGAATTCATTTGACATATTTAATCGAAATATTTACTTACGAACATGAGAGACATGCAAACACATTTTATACAAACTTGCTTTAAACTACTGATAGTTCTTTTTAATGTTATTCTCGATATTTTGTAACCATCGTGTAATTCAATTTTTTTGTTGCAAAGCGATTATAAATAAACTATTTATCTTGTTTATCTTTATCTGAGATCCTAATTGAAATAAGAATCTAACTTATCAGAAGATCGTGAGAAAGGCTTATGTCCTACAACGTACCATTCCTTAATCCAATCGTGGGCGCGTAGACTTCCAGATTGCCAGAATAAAAAGATATGATCTGAATGAGAATAGTATAGTAAGAGTGAACTTAACAAGGTTTGTACCCTCCCCCTGAAGGCGAGCGGTTCAAAACGTGGCAAACAACCTCAATTATTCAATGAGTCAGATCAATTTTCCTTCTGATGCTTTTACTTTCTCTTTTACCTCTTTTTTCGCTGCCCAGAGACGCCTTAAGTCTACAGGTAGGTTTCCACGTGGCAAACAATCTCTATTATTTAATGAGTCAGAGCAATTTTCCTTCTGATGGTTTTATTTTCTCTTTTACCTCTTTTTTCGCAGCCCAGAGACGCCTCAAGTCTACAGGTAGGTTTCCAATTAACAGCCTTAATCGACTAAAATTGTCCTTTCGAAATACCTCTCACCTTGTAATAAAATAACAATGTTTAGAATGGACAAATTTGAATTTAAAAGATAAAGTAGAAGGAAAACTGAAAGATAAAAAGGAGGTGTGGGGGAACTGGTTCAATTGCATTCCAAAACTCAGAAAACAATCTGATCTGATGTTAAGAATTTAGAGAATAGAATTCATGCCTTGCCAGAGCGAAATTCCTTCAGTGATACGCAGCTGGTCCGAAGTCACTCGATCCAGTTCAAGCCACTCCTTGTTTGATGAACTCTGTTCGATATCTTGTTCATGACGTGATTCTGCCGCGGTGACTGTAAATCAGCGGCTAAAAGTGTCGTTTGTAAGAAATGGGTCTACAACGTTCATTCAGCTGAAAAAATCCTAGACTTCAGATTGTTTAAGAAGGTTTATTAGAAGCAAGCAAGCCTTTTATAAATTATTGAGAGAAGAAACTCGTTTTTGCCCCCACGTCCCCCTATAAAAGTCTACTCTTGTTTGCACAAGGAAAAATTGTTGAGTATATGATAACACTCTTCGCGAGAAAAGCCCAATGTCTTCAATTCAAATAATTTCGACCGATTCTAGTCTTGTTAGGTCAAAGTGTCATTTTTGAAGCGTAAATATTTGTCCTTCGCGTTTAGTGTATAGATAGCAGTCATCAACAAAAAACTCTCTTTCTCTTTAGGTGGCGACGAAAAAAGTGTTACCAACATGGCAGCTGCCATCTCCTCTACATGTGCTGTTGTTCTTATACTTTTTTCGCTATCGTCTTCGACGTCCGTTAGTTTCATTGCCTGGTAAGTCGTGTTGTGTTTTCCGATACTTCGCGTTTTAAGAATTTCAGAAGAACGGTGTAACATTCACCACCCTTCTTTTTTTAGTTCGGGTTCTCTTCGATTTTTAAGGTTATTAGTTGTTTAATATGATGAAATTTCTGTTTTAGATATGGAATTTGAGTACCACGCCTTCCTTATATACAGCTCCCAAGACTTAAAGTGTTGTGTGCAATACGTTACTTAACAAATAGAATCCATGTTGCCAAGCGTCTGTAATCTATTACTTAGCTAACGCAGGGCAATATGTAATCTGTTTGCTTTTATATAATAAAGAGGCAGAAAAAATTGTTAATTGTGATATCTTCTGTGCGTCTTCCCTTCAATACATCATAACTGAAGAGCAATTTAAAATACGCTCGTAATTCAGCTTTTTATACAAAGATCGATTGACTGAGATCTCACTCTTGGAGTTTCCTTTCGTCAAAACACGTAAGAAGACAAGCGCTTTAGTTTTAAAGAGGTACACCGAATACAAATGGTATCTAAAATCTCAGGGTGTATGATGAAGATCTTGAATTTGCTAGAGCCCTTAGTGTTGAGAAATCCGAATCCTTGAAGAAAAGATTCATTTCCTAAGATAATAGCTTTTTTCAAAAGTGTTGAATCTAATCCTTATGGCTCCCTTTTAAATTGTCGCCTGAGTTACTTTGAAATCATTGCCCGGTTAAGTGACGAGGCCACCTATGCTATGGATTAAATTGGAAGAAAGGGGAATAAAGTGCCCTTTGGTTTTTTTTTTTTTTTATTTTGTTTTGTTTTTTTGCACGTAGAATTACACTCTGAGATGTGTTGTAGCCTTTTCCGAATTAGACGCTTTTGTGGTTTCATTATTTTTTTTGAATGGGACGCTCTTAAATAGAAAAAGAACTATATCAACCAATTAATTGTCATTCCTGACTGGTCGTGTGACTTTGACCGGAAGCAGTTTGTGAAACGCTAAGAACCTTCTACCCGTCGGACTTAAAATCTGGTTTGTCATAAGAGAAAATAGTAAATCAATATAGAGTCAAACAGAAAAAGCAGAAAAAAGCACAGGCACACCCTCTATATCTGATTACCGTCGGAGACAGCATGAGGTAGCGTCTTCAGGAAATTCAACGACTTTTCAAGTATTAACTATGTCGCTGAATTGTAATCCGCTAAATGTTTGAAAGCTTATATCGCTTTACCTCTGTTTGAAGATATCATAATTATAACTTACTACTAGATCGCTACTGGTGCTCATTAAAAAAGTCAAAATTTTACCATAATGGTCTGTCCGATTCTTTCATGACAATTTTGGAGTTTTTTTTTCCTACCAAGACAAGGTATCGTATTCAAATTTGATTTGATTTGAAGGAAACTTACCGTTTCCCAAAAATCTTTTTCACAAATTGTGGTGTACCCACATTAAAAGATCTCGGCACGAAGTACAGTGCTGGAATATCGCAACAAATGCTGGACATTTCGATAAATTTATCTTCTTGAATTACGTTTTGTTTACTTCCTGTATTCCAAGGGAAGTTAGTGGTCATTTTATTTTTACATCAAATGACGTCTGAGTTGACATTCACATAAGTTTCATTGAGAGCCTTAAGTGATCTTAAGTGTGATAGATGTAACGTTACTGTTCATTTATTCTGAACTTTCGGTGACTGATAGTCGGTGTCGTTCACTTTCAACCTTCAACATACAGCCTCGTTCTGTTTATTGATGTTTCCATATTTGCTGTTTTTGTTTTGAATTATCTCTTTTTTATCTTTCGTGGGTTTTTTTAATCTAAGAGTGTCATCGTGCGGCTAAAACTGGTGTATACTTGAACAGTTTAGTGCTTGAAAGAATAACCGGAATAACCGCCTTGAAAATTTAGCACAAAGGAAGCTTGAAGAAAAACAATGTGGGAATATTTCTTTATCAGAGTTTTTTCTGTGCTCATTTGGAGCAATTTTGCACTTGTGCCCGTGCAGTTTCGAAGTTCTTCTGTAATTTCAAATGCATTGAAGTTAACAGGGCAGATGGAGCACTGTTTGAGGAGATGTAGGATCAGCTTTCAAGTCAATGACGCAGATCTATCAGGCGAAGAGGTAATTAGAAATTCAAACATTTGTAATGATGTTTAGTTTAGTTCAACGACAAACTAATCGTAAAAAGCTACAGGCAAGATTACGTAAGAACTTCTCTTGTAAAGAATACAATTGGAAAATTGGGCAATGTCCAATGTTATATTCATTCCCAATCATTCAGCCTTCTTGAAACCTTTCTCAATCGTAGTATTGTTTTCGCCATTGTTTTCCTCTACCAAATAACTTTTGTATAACGAGGTTTAAGGTTATACGGATATCTTTCCGACGACTTTTGGCTCTATTTAGATGAGAAATTCTAGCCTGACGAGGGATCTGTTCTGATGGAATTTCAAACCTCACTCATGACGACATGAGAAAGGCGCAATACTTAAAATTTCATCTAGATTGATACTAAAGAAAAATGTACACAAACCTGCCCTATCCCGCCTTTCCAAATGAAAACATCAAATCAGTTTCTAAAGAAAGAATGCTGAGGGCAGGTTTCGGAAGTAGACACCTTCCCTTTGACAGGCACATATCAGAAGACCCTTAAGTTTAATTAAGCATAGGAATCTTAACCTCTTGAAGCTGTATTACGAGCACTCTTCATGAGTCATTACTTTCAAGGGACGGGAATTTACTTACGCGATGCATTTGCGCTAAGTCGAGTCCAGGACGATCGTGAACGGAAATTATCAACTGCCTGCCCTTCTTGCTACAATTTCAACCTGGCTTCTTGCAAGTCTGTATACATTAAAAAATATCTTACTATGGTTTGATTACCGAGCTATGAAAATTAAAATTGTTTTCGACCAGCCAGCTTTGCGTTGAGCGTTTTCTTTCCAAACCAGAAAGTTGTTCGAAGGATAGCTATGTAATCATTTCCAACATGCATATATTCCAACAGAAAGGCGCGTTCTTTGTCTCGTTACTATGTTTTTCCACAATCCTTGCATTTGTAGACAAGGAGCTCATATTATTATGCTCAAGGGGTTATGGATATCTTAATGGTTCTTTGTTCTGGAGCGGGCTTTAACAAACCTTAATTATCCATGTTGATTTATGCCACCAGGATATATCTTTTTAAACTTGAGGTAGTTTATTAGATGTTATAATATGTTCAGAGAAATGCGCACTCCGTGATTAGTCAGAACGAGTTTATTACATTTCCATAAAGCACGCGCCTTACGTCACACGAGTGCACTGTTGAGATATAATCCACGCAGCCTACGTCATAGGTATGAGCGCGCGCAATTCACGATATATTTTATAAAAGAAATAAAAAGACCTTGTTCCTCGAGCATTATTGAGTTATATAAGTACTTGGGAATTTTTAAGAACACTCGAGAAGTGCGAGAAGCACTCGCCTTTGGCTCGTGCGTCTCCATACTTCTCTCGTGTTCGTAAAAATTCCCGCGTGCTCATAGTACTCAACAATGCACTCGGCCCGTTTTTTATTTCTTTAGTGCAGCGAGACGTTTTTTCTTGTTCCTCGCTTTTTTTTGTTAAATACTTGGGAGTGACAAATTGATGTTAAGCTAAGTTTTGTGATGTGGCGCGTTCATTCTCTAACCACTCCAGAAGTTTATGAGGTAGAAACCCCTGAAGGAAAAACAATGGATTACAATTTTTCTTCTCTTTGACTCGATTTAACCTTAGAACGCTATGATAATTTTCTCTTCGGTTTCTCATAGATACATACATTAAAATTTGTGCATTTTTCTGTCGTTTTCCTGTCGTTTTTCTGATTTAGACTGTATGGAAAGGTAATAGAGAGCATAATTGCTTTTTTCAATCATATCCGGTCAACATAATATTCAATCTAATACAAGACTTGCGAGTTTCGGTCTACATTCTCTCTATATATTAAGTTACAAAGAGTGACGCAGTAGCAGATGAAGGAGTCACACAAAGCCAGTAACTTGTATGATAAAAACGGGAATCACGCATTGGAAAGGAAATAATATTTTAAAACACTATTGAAAAATCAGTTTCAGTCTTTTACATTTCGAGTTCCAGTCCTGGTGCTTTACGTAAATGTGTGCAGTTAATCTAGAAAACAGGAAAAGGTAAGAAGAAAGAGAACAATAACCTTGGTGAATCTTAGATAGTTTCATGTTTAGGGTGTCTACTGCGTAGAATAACAAGTGAATATTCAAACGGAAAAGAATTGTTAAAGAAGGATGGAAATATTGCGATTAGCAAGAAGATCCGATGTTTTAAGACTTTAGATTATTGGTTGACTGACAAAAACAACACTCAGATGATAACATTTGCGATGTAAATCGAAAATATCTGTTTCAGCCTCCAAAATAGGGCCGTTTCGGTGGTATTTTAACTTGAAAACAAAAACAAAGAAACAAACACACAAGCATACAAACATCGGCTTCAATTCAAATAACAGAATTACGAGATGAAGCACGAATATCGTGAACACTGAAGTTCAATCGGAAATAACTCTCCACTTGAGATAAGGAGAGAAATCTGCAATCAGGTGTAAGAAAAAGAAACAACAACAGTATATTTAAAACTACCAATTAATGAAAAAATGGAAAACTTTGAATTTTCGACAAAATATTGCACCAACTTTACCTAAAATCGCTGAGTCGCCACGGCTTCCTCGATATTTGACCACAGTCAGAGACAAAGGATAACACAACTCTACTAGTACATCGATCGCGTGAGCTCTAATGATGTTTATGTGTATGAATAAAGATACCGTATATATGTGTGTCTTTTTTTCTCCTATTCTCGTTATTGCTCTCATTCTTGCATTTACGAGGTGGCATTTGAAGCTGAAGTGATCTATGCCTCAATAATGAATACACACATACGCATTGGTATTGTATTTCGTTAATTAATTTTGTTGACCGCCTAATATTTAAAACGGAATGTTTTTCAGCCAATTGTGATTTTGGTGTATCTTACAGGTACCAGTGGATCATTTCTGTTACGCAAAGTGCATTGAAAAGGAAGGTATGAATTTTGATAAAACAAATTGGTGGCAAACTCTCAAGCGTTAACCTATTAAAATAGACAATGATTGGATCTTTGTGTAACATCCCTTAGCTAAGAAAACAATTTCAATCGATTTTTTACTTGGATTTCTCATTACTTTTGCGTTCCCTCGATCAGTTAATAGGTCAACGAGTGAGCTGGTGGTCAAACGGTCAATCTGGCCTTCAGTCGGTCGATCGATCAGATGATCAGACAAACAGTTTGATAGCCAGTCCAACAAACGAGTTGTTTGTAAGAATATCACGAGTTAGTCAGACGATCTGCTGTACATTGATAGCTCAGTGGCTCGTGATCAGGCAAGAAGGCACCTTGCAAATTCTGTTTTTGCCATCCATACTAAGGTCAAATGTTGGGTGAGGAAGTAAAAATGTTTTCCTTTTATGAATCGCAGTGGAAATCGTCAGTGTTTTAGCTTTATTTCCATCAAAAATCAGTTTACTCATAGAATGTATTTAGGACGTTTAAGTCAATGGAACCTCTCACTTTGTTGTAGAAAATATATATCATATATAATTTGTCTTAAGACTCTTTAGCTAAGAAACTTGTTACTTCTCTTTAAAGCGCCCTTCCACTTATTCTTTAAACATGTCCATGTATATACCTTCCTCTCGCCAATAGGGAAACAGCATTTTCTTATGAACGAGCGACACCGCCTGGTTACTGCACAAAACACGTCGTCAATTATGAGAATCAAACGAGGTAATTAAACTAATATACAAATGAACACATGACAGGAATGGACTGTGAAATTTACTTAATCTTTTGGTAAGACCCGAGGGTTCCTGAAATTGCAATGATTCCCGTTAAATGTTGGCCGGATTCTTTTATTTAAAAACTTGAGTGCGCTTCTTAAGCTTTCCAAGACGCCTTCGAATCAGAAGTTTTTACATTTAAAATATATTTCAATCGCAATATCTCAATTCGTTATTGGTACATTATAATTTATTTGGAGGAGAAATTTCAATTAAACAAAGATGGTTACTAAAGAAACGGAAAAAGCTATAACAAAAAAAACCACGACGACAACAGACATAACAACTAAAAGTAATAATCAATCCTACTACAGACCAATAGTTTTTTATTCGTCCCATGATTCATTTATCAGTGCATGGTAATTAGATTAGCTGTAGACTAGCTCAGCTGTTTTGAGTCTCGAGCCCCCTTGGTTAAGATGAATAAAAAAAGTTATGATTTTTACGTCAATTGTTTTTTACTCTATTATCTTTTTATTTTATTGTTATTTTCAGATGTCCCTAACAGCCAAAGGAATCAGACATCCTCAAACACATCAGGTATTGTAAAAATGTGTGAGCGAAATATTTCGTTATAACAACGTTTTCGGTTAAAAATCTGTGCCGACAAACGCGCGACTCAAATTTCGATTTTAGCTCTGTTATACTGACTTGTACCACGTGTATATTTCACCCCTCAAATGCACAACAAAATTAGCAAAGTGAAACGGTGAAGATGATATCAATCTGTTATCTCTCCATACAGTTGTCCCAAACAGCGAACGAATTAAGCCGACATATCCCAGTGGAGAAGAATATCCCGGTAAGTCTGAAACAGAATGATTATATAAACTAAACAGACAAGGGTTTAATGGATAGTAACGTTCTTTTACCTACTTTACGTACAACAATACAAACAAACCACCGCAACTCAACCTCAGGTGCTCAATCATTGACAGCCTTGTATATAAGATGAAATTCTTTCCATTCCGTTTTCACAGCCACTGATATTTCTAGGCGCAAAAAACTCTTCATTATGTCTGGAAGTACATTTAGGAGAGATTTTTTGTCCGCTCCAAGTAGGCTCGTGCAGTCATATTTCTCACTGGCCTGTTTCTCTCCTCTTCGAGAATTTTAGTTTTGCTTCGCCACTTTTGTATTTCATATTTCAGACATTCTATTTCTTCGTATAGCTCTTTTACAGATTTCGTTTGACCCTCGTAGACCTGAATTTTTTTCATTTTTTCATCTAAATCTTTTTTGTCCTTTCCTTGGTTTCCTTGTATAATTGCACAGCAGCATGAGCAAATTTCATAAAATAGACGCAAATGTTTTGCCTCACAGCTTGATTATCCGTAATGGCGAACATCTTGTCAGGTACAGAGTACTCTAGAAGATCCACATATTCTACTTTTCTATTGCCCTTGGGATGAATCGGCTTGCTCAGTTTCACTTCCGGTTGCAGAATTTTGACCGGAAGTTCTCCCACGATCGGACGCTTGTTCATTTACGACGTTGTGCCATTTCTTAAGAAGTGGCAGTGGAATTTCCACAGCAAAAAAGGTTTTTCCTCTCGTTCGCTTTAGCTGAATAACAAATTTCTGGTCGGCTGATCGCAATCTGTCTCTTGAAATTCATCTAGTGGGTTCGCCAGACATGTGTGACAAATTGTGTTACAAATGTGGTGTAACGAAATGCAACGAGGTTAAAAATAAATACGAGGTTACTTATGAATAAATGGGGAGGCTACTAAGCTACCCTAAAGATTCTGGGAAGCAAAATGGTGGACGATTGGCAACGAAAAGAGTGGTTTTGCGCCCCCGAAACACGGTTTATTGCCGGTCGCTCGAGGACTTAAAAAATCTACTTTCCCTCGCATCGAATTTCACCGAGTTTTGGCCGTTTTTCATCGTCTTTTGGAACCGGTTTAACATCGTGAATGAATTTAATTCTGTACTACAAAAGAGGTTTCGGATGTAAACAAAGCATTGAGATTTTTGAAAAGGTACCAGTATCTTCGTGCTGGCTTTGAAAACTAAAGGACTTTATAACACTTTGAGCAACATCGCGTCACGTAAAGGAGGACATATGGTGGATTTTAAGTTTTATGGTGTTCAGAAAAGATCGAATTGGGAACCGATTTAACCGCAACGAAAAGTTTTATGGTTCATTCTCAAGGTAAAGGGTATGTCAAACAGCAATGTATGATATTGAAAGTTAATTTGCTGCTGTTAGTGTGATGTATCGACAAGCAATAAAGTAAGGTAACGGTATTCTTCACTCTTTTCTTTGTAATTTGTCTTTTATCATGTTTGTAATCTAAGACTGGATGCGGCGCTCATGCGCATGCTCATTTAAAATTTCCATATCATGGGGTTACCTAAGTGAACGTTTCTCAGGCATAAAATGACATCAGAACTCTCTGTCTGTTGTTACCCTCGTTAATTGTGCAAATGATCTCTCTTAGTTTACTGTTACTCTCATATTTACTATGTTTGTCTCTTTGTTTGCTCCAATGAAATGAAAGGTTTGTTTGGGAAGGGGTTAATTTTACGTAAAAATGAAGTACATATTATCATTGGTATCAGAATGGATATTAAGATGCTTGGGGAACAAGTCACGAGTTGAAAAGTCCTTCACTACCGATGATGTAGAGACAATATATGAAGAGCTTAACAACACGGGGAGGTATATCGCAACGGTCTCATGGACACCTTTTGATAGTAAGTGGAATACCAGCATTTTTCACGGTATCGAAATAAACCTTGAGTCATTGTTTAGGTATAAAAGAGAGTTTAATATCAACTCATCGACATTGTAAATGCAACTCGATTTAATTTGGTGGATCTTATTTATGATTCAATTTTGTTTGCGGATAGGAATAATAAAAAGGGGACGTTCTCTCGGACATTTAGAAAGATGATGTGTCTTAATACCGTCTGTGATCTTAAAAAACTCTAGATTAGCAAAAATAATAAGGTTTCGCTGTCACTTCATGCAATTTCTCCCCGATTGCGGTTACTGTGGGAGTGAGCACGTTGCGTGACGAAGACAAATAACGGCTGTTAAAGGGACTGGCGGAGAAGCGGATAAAATCAATTCGTTTGCATGGATGAGAAAAAAATAAGGGTCCAGCGATGCATTGTCGAATGCCTGATGAGCATCTCCTCATTTTCGACTTCTAAAACCCTTACAGAAACACCATGAACGGATATGATGAGAAAATCAGAAGTAAGATTGTAACATTTGTTTCTTTCAGTTCAATTGAGCAATTGGACTGGATACGGAATAATATACGCAATAATAGATTTCACCAGCGATAACGCTGCCAAAACCTATTGTCAAGAATTGGATAAGGTGAGAGGAGGACGACTGAGTAGTAAAGACGACGTAACGTAAACCATCTTAAAATGTATCAAAACTGCATATCGATGAGGGCTTATTGTGAGCGTAACACGTGTGAAAGGGAGGAAAGGCACAATATAGAGGAGAGTGAAAAAAGGGGAGAAAAGAAAATACTTAGGTCCATCACGAGAACGCGAACCTGGTATTGTCCAATTTCACGGTCCGAAGCTTTACCGCTGAGCTGCAGAGGACCTCAATGGCGGGCTGGGCGATATACCAACTTCGTACCTCACTAGTGTCCTGCCTCTTGTTAGGATCAACAATGTCAATGGCGGTGTACGTGTAAGGTTATGAAGGACCCCTATACGTGATCGTTTTGTTGATGTTTTTCATACGCCTCGATGATTGGATATTTTGCGATTTGCGTTCTAAATTTCTTAGGGACACGGAAATTGCTAGGTAATAAAAGTCTGCTGGTATCACATGTAGATGATAACTCATCGAATTAGGACATATCATTACACTACAAGATATACATCCTACGGCTTTCTCTGAGAATTGTTTAGGGTGCAAACGAAATGGGAAAGCAACGAGGGGTCATTCGAGAGAAAAAAAATTATAAAGGATCGAAGTGTTTCATTATTCCATGGTCATTGCTCCAGTTTTTGTCCATACATCTAACCTATTTGACAGAGTTTGATACCGTCGCATGAATTACGCGTTCTGTTGCTCCGATACGATAAACTGATGTAATAGTGGATCAAATGCCTACTTTCCTGAACTTCTTGTTATCATTTGTAGTTACACCTGCTATATGTTTGGGTCGCACAATTTTTAAGGATAGATTGAAAATGTGATAGGATTTCTTTTCTGCCATTGTAAGGAACATTTCAACTGTTTTTATTCATTTACTTTTTTCCTTTTTTTTTCTAAGACAAATGGCCTTCATCTCTTTGTGGGACAAAATATTAACGTTTACATATCAGGCGTATTCTACCTTGGATGAAACTTTGTCGATTTAAAACTCTTTTACCGCTCACAAGCTTTACAAGATAATGTGGTTATCGAATAGTTTACCTCTCGGAAATACATTTATATGGATGAATAGCACAGGCCACCTTAATTTTATGATCTTTTCTTTTTAGGACGCTACGAACATTACCATAACTAATTCTTCTTACGGAATGATGAATGATTCTTATCTTGTGCTTTATGTAAGTATCACAAATAATTGCTAATAGTTTTTATAGTATAGTTGCTCAGGTGCTTTCGAATCCTATTACGAGTTCGTTTTGTCTTTGAAACCATCCTTTTTATAAAGAAAGCTTTGTGCTTATTTTGTTTCAATTGGTTTGATAACTCGTGCCGAAATAAGATTAGTTTCCGCTAGAATTTAACAGAAAAACTTGAAAGAGAAAGAAGAAGACATGGAAATAAAGAACCATAAAAAAAGACAAACAAACAAACAAACAAACAAAAACAAAGAAAACAAAAAGAAAACGTATAATACTCGGCTTTTTATTTCACCCCAATTTCTTTCCCGACTAATCAGTTTTTTGTGATTTTGTCCTTGGATTTAGCAAAAGTATTTTATTATATGCATAACCTTTGTCAAAAGGAGAAGTCATTCGGATAAGAAATATAGCTCTTGACAAAACGAATATCATAGTCTTTGGACGTTTTATTCAGGGTTTTACTCTGTAAATGTTGCGGAAATAATTTATTTCTTTAAAACCCTTGATAAATCCTTGAAGAAAATCGATAATAATCTTGTTTTTCAGATTACTTCTCTGCCATATCCTGTACAAATGTTCTATGACTTCCCAATCCGTAAGTTTTGTGAAAGCTCGGAGCCAAAAATGAGTCAATGAGCCTCTAATGCATGGTTGTTTTGTATTTTGTTTATTCGCATTTGTCCACTGGTTTATTTGTTTATTCTTCTGTTAATATTTAGTTCTTCTTACATATTTTTAGCTGTGTTTGATATGAAAGCCAGCATTTTTTTAAAGGAAACATGATAGATTTATACATCTCTGAAACATTGTTCATTTTAAATACAGTTTGCGAAGTGCCAACGCCATGCGTAGGGGAGTCAGGTGAGTTTTCAGAGGGAGAGCTGCTACAGCAAAATTTAATTTACATCGCCGTCCCAAGTTCCAATTTCAAGCCTATGCCATATGTATCCCCGTTCCAGTGCATCATCCCCATCCTCAAACTCTTCTTAAATCAATCAGTAATCAAATATTTTGTTGAAAATAGACCGTTATGTCCGCGACATGGTCGTAAGGGTGTAAGCCTTAATCCGTATCTAATCACCGCCAATCAGTGGGCTCAGTGATATCATTTATTGAATACTGTCTTTAGTTTCAAAATAAGCTTTGAAAAAGATGCGGTATTTGCCTCTGGTTCTTATGGTCTTTTCAGTTGGAAAAATACTTCGACGATCTTTCGTGATAATTTTCCACAAATTTCTCCGGCTCTGGTTCAGACAAGGTTCCAGAAGAAAAAATTATGTTTGATTTTCAAAGCTCGCAAGGTATTATTTCTGATACGTTCCCTAATCCTTCCTCGTAACTGCTTTCTAAGTAGTACTTCAGTTTTGTGTTATTCTTAATAACAAGGTGTTGGAGCCCCAATGTCTGCAATATTCACACAATAAAGGGGCAATGTGTTGGAGGGTTTTTAGATTTGCATGTAATCTTAAGGTAGTCAATGTACTATTATTCTTATCTATCCTCCTTTGCTCTTTCATCGTTCAATCAACTTTACTCACAGGTAGGTTTTAAATCAACAAAATTTTAAAATTAAAAGGCTACACTTGAAGGAGTATAAGTAATCTCAACAAATAGATAAAAAAGGAAGGGGTGGAGACTTTGAATATGCAAAACTATTCGATCTAATTCCCTCCTTGAAGGGGAGCAGTATAAAACGTGGCAACCAATCTCTATTATTAGCAATTTTCCTTCTGATGGTTTTATTTTCTCTTTTACCTCTTTTTTGCAGCCCAGAGACGCCCTACGTTTACAGGTAGGTTTCCAATTAACAGCCTTAATTGACTAAAATTGTCCTTTCGAAATACCTCTCACCTTGGAATAAAATAACAATGATTAGAATGGACAAATTTGGATTTGATTGGTAAAGTAGAAGCAAAACTGAGTGATAAACAGGGGTGGGGACTGGTTCAATTGCATTTAAAAACTCAGAAACAATCGGATCTGACGTTGAACATTTGGAGTATAGAATTCATGCCTTGCCAGAGCGAAATTCCTTCAGTGATACGCAGCTGGTTCGAAGTCACTCGATCCAGTTCATGCCGCTCCTTGTTTGATGAACTCTGTTTGATATCTCATTCATGACGTGATTCCGCCGCGGTAACTGTAAATCAGGGCCAAAGGTGTCGTTTGTAAGAAATGGTTCTACAACGTACCCTTCTATTCATTCGGCTGAAAAAATTCCCAGACTTCAGATTGTTTAGGAAAGTTTATTAGAAGCAAGCAAGCCTTTCATAAATTCCTGAAAGAAGAAGCTATTTATTGCCTCCACGTTCTTCTAAAAAAATCAACTCTTGTTTGCACAAGGAAAAATTGTAAACTATATGATGACACTCTTGTTGAAGGCCTAAATGTAATAACATTTAGTCCTAAATGAAATAAGCCTCCCATACAATCGTATAACTCCGCCAGTGCAATGTTGTTATAGCGGACATCCATATTGAGACGTTGAAGGGACAGCTGTTGCACCAAAAAATCCTATGACCAGTATTCATGTCACATTGCGGGCTCGTTGATATTAATCAGCGTCTTCTTATTTGCTAGACTTAAGTCGAGAAGCATTAGCTGCAAACCGTTACACTGATAAACAATTAGCATCAAATTTGACAGCTGTCAAAACAATGAGTACGCTGACCTATAACTCTCTCCAAATATCACTGGCACAGACTCTTTGGTACAATCGACTTTGGGAAAATGTGATAACGTAATACTTGTGTGATCAGTCATCGAGTTAGCAAGTCATAAACCAGATTACAAACTTAGTCAAGGGAGTCCGCTGACCTATAGGACAATTTGTAGGCTCGAATTTACATTTTTTGAACTTGGGATCCCTGTATGGCTTCTCTCCACCTCGATAATCAGTTCATGTGCCTCATAACTATAAGTGCAAACTGATGAGCTTTCTTTTTTCATTTATTTATTTATCTATTCATTTTCTCCCCTCATGGCAGGGAGAAGAGATAAAGACCAAAAACCATAAATAAGATCGACTTGAGATCGACTGTGGAATATATTTTCTCTCTTGACCAAGCTTATTGGGTCATGATGGCTGGATATTAACCTTGTTCTTTTTCTGCGTTTTTATGGACCCCGACTTCGTCTCGGTCCACAAAAACGCAGCAAAAGAACTTGGCCAATATCCATCCATCTTGACCTCACGCTTGGTCAGTAACGTATATGAATATATTTCATGCAGACCCATCCAAATCTAGCAAGAGAAGACAGTGCAAAATATTCACTTCCGATTCCGGAATTTGTCTTACGTATGGGTCAGTGGACTTCCTTTTCCTTGTAATTTGGTTCATAAAGTGTTAACTTCAGCACTGATCACACAAATATATCGTCAAAATCTGTTGCACTAAAGAGTCTGAGCCCATAACATAAAGAGAGGTATTGGCCAACGTTCTCATTGTTTTCACGTCTGTCAATTTGATGCCAAAAGCACATCAGTATAAGGGTTTGTGGTCATACTTATCGACTTGCGTCTCTAGCAAATAAAAAGACGCTGATTAAGATCAACGAGCCTGCAATATACCAAATATTGGTCAGAGGATTCCTTAGTGCAACAGCTGTCACATAAACATCTCACTGTAAATGTCGGCTACAACAACAATGCTCTGACGGAATTAAACGATTGCATTAAAGGCTTATTACATTTAGGGCCGAATGTTATTAAATTTAGGACAGTTATTACATTGAGACCTTCAACAACTCTTCGCGAGAAAAGTCCAATGTCTTCAATTCAAATAATTTCGACTGTTCCTAGTCTTGTAAGGTCAAAGTGTCATTTTTGAATCGTAAATATTTGTCCTTCGTGTTTTGTGTATATACAGCAGTCATCAAAAAAAAAACTCTCTTTCTCTTTAGGTGGCGACAAAAAAAGTGTTACCAACATGGCAGCTGCCATCTCCTCAACATGTGCTGTTGTTCTTATATTTTTTTCGCTATCGTCTTCGACGTCTGTGAGTTTCATTGCCTGGTAAGTTGTGTTGTTTTTTCCGATACTTCGTGTTTTAAGAATTTCAAAAGAACTCTGTAACATTCACCACCGGCCGGTTTTAGTTCAGGTTCTCGTCGATTTTTAAGGTTATTAATTGTTTAATCTGATGAAATTTCTGTTTCAGATATGGAATTTGAGTACCACGCCTTCCTTATTTACAGCTCCCAAGACTTGAAGTGTTGTGTGCATTGCGTTACTTAACAAAAAGAATCCGTGTTGCCAAGCGTCTGTTATCGATTACTAAACAAATGCAGGGAACCTGTGATCTATTTGTTTTTATGTAATAAAGAGGCAGAAAACATTGTTAATGGTGATATCTTCTATGCGTCTTCCCTTCAATACATCATAATTGAAGAGCAATTCAAAATGCGCTCGTAACTCAGCTTTTTATATAAAGATTGATTGACTGAGATCTCACTCTTGGAATTTCCTTTCGTCAAAACACGTAAGAAGACAAGCGCTTTAGTTTCCAATCACTTTTTTAACATTAAGCAGAGTTGTGAGTTAGAGCTGGATTACGCCATCAATCCACCTAGGGAAAGGAAAGATGATGGCTTATTTGTTATCAAACATAGGCAAACTTCCTGCTGAAAATCGGTTGAAAAGGAAACTTAAGAGAAAATGTTGGTCAGATCTTTAGGTTTGAAAATATCTTGTAAAAGTGATTGTTATTGCTATTACGTTTCAGTCAGATATGCAGAAAGGAAAACTGGAAAGGAAGAGAGGAAAAAGAGGAAGGCTAAAAAGAGTGCGCCTCCTGAGCCACTCTTGAGCTCTTGCAACATCATTTTTTGGTCATTTGTGATCTGTTACTGGAAAATCAAGAGGTAATATGGACCTAAAAATTATAGAATTTTTGTTTGTTTTAAAGAGGTGCACCGAATACAAATGCTATCTAAAATCTCAGGGTGATAAAGATTTTGAAGACGAACAATTTGCTAGAGAATTTTGCGTCGAGAGATCCGAATCCTTGAAGAAAAGACTCGTTTCCTAAGATAATTGTTTTTTCCATAAGTGTTAGGCCTAATCCTCATGCCTTCATTTTAAATTGCCGCTTGAGTTACTTTAAAATCACTGGCCGCTTATGTAACGAGGCCACCTATGCTATCGGTTAAGATGGGGGAAAATAACTGCTCTTTCGTTTTTTTTTTTTTTTTTTTTTTTACCCATAAAGTTACGCTCTGAGATGTGTCTTAGCCTTTTCCTGATAAGAAGCTTTTGTGGTTTCAGTTTTTGAATGGGATGCTTTTAAATAGAAAAATAACTATATCAACCAATTAATTGTCACTCCTGACTAGTCGTGTGTCTTTGACTGGAAACAGTATGTAAAGCGCTAAGAACCTTCTACCCATTGAACTTTAAATGTGGTTTGTCACAAGAGAAAATAGAAAATCGATATAGAGTCCAACAGAGAAAGCGGAAAAAGCACAGGCACGCCCTCTAGATCTGATTACCGTCGGATACAGCGGCGTCTCCAGGAACTTAAACGACTCTTGTATTAACTATGTCGTTGAATTATAATCCGCTAAATGTTTAAATACTTATATCGCTTTTCCTCTGTTTGAAGATATCACGATTATAACTTACTCCTAGATCGCTAATGGTTCTTATTAAAAGAGTCAAAGTTTTACCATAGCGGTCTGTCCGATCCTTTCATAACAATTTTTGAGTTATTTTTTCCCCAGCAAGATAAGGTATTGTATTCAAATTTGATTTGATCTGAAGGAAGCTTATCGCTTCCCAAAAATCTACTTAATAAATCGTGGTGTACCCATTTTAAAATATTTCGGCACGTAGTACAGTGTTGGAATATTGTAGCAAATGCTAGACAGTTCGATAAATTTATCTTCTTGAATTACGTTTTGTTTATTTCCTGTATTCCAAGGGAAGTTAGAGGTGATTTTATTTTTACATCAAATGACGTCTGAGTGGACATTCACATAAGCCTCTTTGAGAGCCTTAAGTGTGAACGATACAACCTTACGGTTCATTTATTCTGAACTTTCGGTAGCTGGCAGTCGGTGTCGTTCACCTTCAACCTTCAACATACAGCCTCGTTCTGTTTATTGATGTTTCCATCTTTGCTGTTTTTGTTTTGAATTATCTCTTTTGTATCTTTCGTGGGTTTCTTCAATCTAAGTGCGTCGTTGTGCGGCTAAAACTGGTGCATTCTTGAACAAGCAAATATTAAGTGCTTGAAAGAATAACCGGAATAATTACCAGATGACTGCTACCCAAATGTAAACTCTATACAAGCAGTTCGAGTTGTCTGTGCATGAAAATTTGGCACAAAGGAAGCTTGACGAAAAACAATGTGGGAATACTTCTTCATCAGAGTTTTTTTTGGGCTCATCTGGAGCAATTTTGCACTTGTGCCCGTGCTGTGTCGAAGTTCTTCTAGCATTTCAAACGCTTCGAAGTTAACAGGACCGATGGAGCTCTGTTTGAGGAGATGTAGCATCATCTTTCAAGCCAATGACGCAGAACTATCAGGCGAAAAGGTAATTAGAAATTCAAACATTTGGAACGATGTTTAGTTTAGCTCAATGACAAATTAATCGTAAAAAGCAATAGGCAAGATTACAAAAGAAATTCCCTTGTGCAATGTTATATTCATTCCCAATCATTCGGCCTTCTTTCCGACGAATTGTGGCTCTAGATGTTCAGATGGGATATCAAACCTCACTTATAACGGTATGAGAAAGGCGCAATATTTCAAATTTCATCTTGGTTCTAAAGAAAAATGTACAGAAACCCGCCCTAACCCGCCTTTTCAATGAAAATATCAGATCAGTTTCTAAAGAAGGAATGCTGAGGGCAGATTTCGGAAGTAGACACCTTCCCTTTTGAAAGGCAAATATCAGAAGACCCTTAAGGTTAATTAAGGAGCATAGGAATCTTAACCTCTTCAAGAGGTTATGATTCCTATGCTCCTCATGAAGAGTGCTCGTAAAACAGCTTCACTGAAGCTGTTTTACGAGCACTCTTCATGAGTCATTACTTTCAAGGCACGGGAATTTACTCACGCGATGCATTTGCGCTAAGTCGAGTTCAGGACGACCGTGAACAGAAATTATCAACTGTCTGCCCTTCTTACCACAAAGCATTTCAACTTGGCTTCTAGCAAACTTGTATGCATACAAAAATGTGTTATCTTGATTTAGACCAGCCAGCTCTGTCTTGAGCGTTTTATTTCCAAACCACAAAATTTCTCGAAGGATGGTTATGTAATCATTTCCTACATGCATCTATTCCAACAGGAAGGCGCCTTCTTTGTCTTGTTACTGTGGTCTTTCTCAATTCTTGCCTTTGTGAACAAGGAGGTTATATTGTTCAGGTTATAGATATGTTAATAGTTCTTTGTTTTGGAGCGGGCTTAAACACCCTTAATTATTTCTATTGATTTATGCCACCAGCATATATCTTTCTGAACTTGAAATAGTTTATTAGATGGTGCAACGGGACGTTTTTTCTCGTTTTAAGCTTTTCTGTTAAATATTTGGGACCGACAAATCGATGTTAAGCTGAGTTTTGTGATGTAGCGCGTTCATTCTCTCAACACTCCAGAGGTTTATGAGTTCCATATTGAAGTGTAGTTTTGCCATTCTAAGAAGGAAAACGATGGATTGCAAATTATTTCATTTTGACTTGATAGAACCCCAGGTTATATAAGGTTAATACTTGTTTTGATAATTTTGTTTTGCTTCCTTATCTTTACGTTTTTCTCTTCGGTTTCTCATAAATACATGTATTACAATTTGTGTACTCTTTCTGTCGTTGTTGCCGGTTTCATTGTTTTGAAATAACGTTGCCTACCTTCTGAATTTAGAGTGCTTTTAGACTGAATGGAAAGGTAAAACAGAGCATAATTACTTTTTCAATCATAACCGGTTAACACAGTACTCTATCTTCTATAAGACTTACGGGTTTCAGTCTACATTCTCTCTATATTAAGTTACAAAGAGTGACGTAGTAACAGATGAAGGAGTGGTACAAAGCCGGTGACATGTATGATAAAAACGGGAATCAAGAATTGAAAGGGAAATAATATTTTAAAACACTCTTGAAAAATTACCTTAATCTTGTACATCACGAGTTCCTGTCCTGGTGTTTTAAGCAAATATGAGAAGTTAATCCATAAAACAGGAAAAGGTAAAGAAGAGAGAGAAGAAAAGCCGCAGATAACCTCGGTGAATCTTGGAATTTCTAATGTCTAGGGCGTCTACTGCGTAGAATACCAACTGAATATTAAAACGGGCTCTTTGGAACGGATATGGTGGAACTACATCCTGTACAGAGTGGCGTGACATTAGCACGGTTGATATTTCTATCCAATGTATGAATTTAAAGCATAATTTCTGTAACAAAGACCGGCGTGATTAAATGACAAACAAACTGGAAGTACATTGAGTGCAAAGGAAAATATTATAGTAAGTTTCCTTCAGACATAGTTTGAAGCTACACTGGTTTGCAGATTTAATGAATGTAACCGAAGAAGTTACAATTCATAGACCCAACGTTTCGACACTCCTGTCTAGTGCCTTCATCAGGGGTGATCTAAACGCTGCAACAAGAGGTCCTTTTATATGATCACTAATTAGCGGCCTTTTTTCTGACGAGGTGTAAATAAGCGTCAGGAAGCAGACCGCCATCGTCACGATTTAAAGGAGCGTGGGCGGAGTTAATGTGCCAAGCCTCCAAACAAAGGCGCTGGTGGTAACGCCGATTAGTGGTAATAATTTTAGAATTATCCCACCCAATTGTATGGTTGGTTAGGCAAGTATGCTCCGATAAAGCTGAATTTTCCTTTTTGCAAAGAAAAACCGCTTTTTGGTGCTCTTTTAACCGTGTACCAAACTGGCGTTTGGTCTGTCCGATGTATTCGTTGTCACAGTCATTGCAAGGAATAGAATAAATGGCGTCGGTTCGTTGTTCTTTCGTGACAGGATCCTTAGGTTTGGCGAAATATGCCCCAAAGTCTGAAAAGGTTTTTGAGCAACTTTAACGTTGTGGCTATTCAAAATTCTCTTGATGGGTTCAGTAACACCCTGTATGTAAGGAATAACAGCAAAACCAGTCGCTGGTTCCCTTTCATCAAGAGCGTTACTATTTGTAACTGATTTTTGGTTGTTACGGAGAAAAGTTTTTGTATAGCCATTTGCCTTTAGGACATTGGAAACATATTTCCTCTCCTCAGCCTTCGAATCGAGTGACGATGGTAGACAATCAGCCCTCCTAAGTAAAGTTTTGGCTACAGACTTCTTATGGCAAATAGGATGGTGAGAATCGAAAGCGAGGTATTTGTCGGTGTGGGTGGGTTTACGGTAGACACTTGTCTCTAAATTACCCTGAACCCCTCTGGACACATTTAAATCAAGAAAGGGCAAATGTCCATCCTTTTCACGTTCAAGGGTGAATTGGATAGACAGCTCTACTGAATTCAAATGCGACAAGAGGCGCTCCGCTTCATTTCCGGATACCGCAGAAATAACATCATCGACATATCGTTTCCAGAAAAAGGGTTTAACCGGTGAAGTGGCTAAGGCCCTTTGTTCCACGTCTTCCATCACCATGTTAGCAATGACAGCAGAAACAGGCGAACCCATAGCTGTACCAAAAACTTGTTGATAGTATGTGCCAATGTTTTAAGACTTTAGATTATTGGTTGACTGACAAAAAACAACACTGAGATGATAACATTTGCAATGTAAATAAAAAAGATCTGTTTCAGCCCCCAAAATAGGACCGTTTCGTTGATATTTAACTTGAAAACACAAATAAAGAAACAAACACATGTACACAAACACAAACATCGGCTTCAATTCGAATAACAGGATTACGAGATGAGGCACCTGTATATCGTGAACACTGAAGTTCAATAAGAAATAATTTTCCACTTGAGATTAGGAGCGAAATCTGCAATCAGGTGTAAGAAAAAGAAACAACAACAACAATGTATTTAAAATTACCAATTAATGAAAAAAGAGAAAACTTTTAATTTTTGGAGGAAATATTGCATCAGCTTTACCTAAAATCACTAAGTGGCCAAAGATTCCTAGATATTTGACTGTAGGCAGAGACAAAGAATAACTGAAAGAGCTCTACTATTGTATCGATGATGTTTACATGTATGAGTGTAGGTAAGTGCTGTAAAGACATTTTTCTTTTTATCATTTTTGACTGGAGTGTGTCGTTTTCTTCTCCTATTCTCGATATTGCTCTCATTCTTGCATTTACGAGGTAGCATTTAGAGTGATCTAAGCCTTAAGCCTAAGCCTCTAATGAATACATGTACACGCACTGGTACTGTATTTCGCGGTAGAGTGATTTTGTTGAAAGCGTAATATTTAAAACGGAATGCAAGTCTCGTGATATAACTAGAGGGCTAAGGTTCTTTTTTCAGCCAATTGTGATTTTGGTGTATCTTACAGGTACCAGTGGATCATTTCTGTTACGTAAAGTGCATTGAAAAGGAAGGTATGAATTTTGTTAAAACAAATTGGTGGCAAACTCTCAAGCGTTAACTTATTAAAATAGACAAAATCTTCGTGTATTTTTTTGTGTAACCACCCTTAGCTAAGAAAACAATTTCAATCTATTTTTTTTACTTGACTTTCTCATTACTTTTGCGTTCCCTCGGTCAGTTAATAGGTCAATGAATAAGCTGGTGTTCAAACGGTCAATCTGACCTTCAGTCGGTCGATCAATCAGATGATCAGACAAACAGTTTAAGAGCCAGTCCAACAAACGAGTTGTTTGTCAGAAAATCACGAGTCAGTCAGACGATCTGCTGTTCATTGATAGCTCAGTGGCTCGTGATCAGTCATCGGGTAACAATGTTTGCATGAAGGTATCTTGCAAAATTCTGTTTTTGCCATCCCTATTGAGGATCGAACGTTGGGTGAGGAAGTAATGATGTTTTCCTTATATGAATCGGCTTTAGCTTTACTTTCATCAACCATCAGTTTACTCACGAAACGCATTTAGGACGTTTATGTGAATGGAACCTCTCAGTTAGTTGTAGGGAATACATATCATATATAATTTACCTTAAGACTCTTTAACTTAAAAACATTTTACTTCTCCTTGAAGCGCTCTTGCATTTATTGTTTAAACATGTCCATGTATATACTTTCCTCTCGCTAATAGGGAAACAGCATTCTCCTATGAACGAGCGACGCCGCCTGGTTACTGTACAAAACACGTCGTCAATTATGAGAATCAAACGAGGTAATTAAATTAATATACATATGAACACATGACAGGAATGGACTGTGAATTTGACTTAATATTTTGGTAAATACCCGAGGGTACCTGATTCCCGTTAAATGTTGGCCGGATTCTTCTATTTAAAACTTGAGTGCACTTCTTAAGCTTTCCAAGACGCCTTCAACAGAAGTCTTTACGTTTTAAATATATCTCAATTGCAATATCTGAAATCCTTATTGGTATTTTATAATTAATTTGGAGGAGAAATTTCAATTGAACAAAGAAGGTCACTAGAGAAATGGAAAAAACTACAACAAAAAAAACCACGATGAGAACAAACATAGCAACTAAAAGTAATAATCAATTCTACAACAGACCAATAGTTTCTTATTCGTCCCATGATTCATTTATCAGTGCATGGTAATTAGATTAGCTGTAGACTAATTCAGCTGTTTTGAGTCTTGAGCCTCTTCGGTTAAGATAAATGAAAAAAGTTGTAGTTGTTTATGATATTTATGTCAATTGTTTTTTTTACTCTATTACCTTTTTTCATTTTGTCATTATTTTCAGATGTTCCTAACAGCCAAAGGAATCAGACATCCTTAAACACATCAGGTATAGTAAAAATGTGTGAGCGAAATATTTCATTATAGCAACGTTTTCGGTTAAAAACTGTGCGCGACAAATGCGAGACTGAAATTTCCACTTTAGCTCCGTGATACTTGCACGTGTATATTTCACTCCTCAAATGCACAACAAAATTAGCAAAGTGAAACAGTGAAGATGAAATCAATTTGTTATCTCTCGATGCAGTTGTCAGCGAACGAATTAAGCCGACGTATCCCAGCGGAGAAGAATATCCCGGTAAGTCTGAAACAGAATGATTATATATACTAAACAGACAAGGGTTCAGTGATCAATAACGTTCTTTTACCTGCTTTACACACAACCATACAAACAAACCGCAACTCAACCTCAGGGGCCCAATCATCAACAGCCTTGTATAGTAATTCTTTCCATAGCCTTATCACAGCCACTGATGTTTCTGGACGCAAAAAACTCTTCAATTTGTCTGGAAGTACACTTGGGATAATTTTTTTTGTCTGCTCCAAGTAGCTCGTCCAGTCATATTTTCCACTGGCCTTTTTCTCTCCTCTTCGAGAGTCTTAGTTTGCTTCGCCACTCTTGTATTCCATCTTTCAGACGTTCTATTTCTTCGTATAACTCTTTAACAGATTTCGTTTGACCCTCATGGAAGTGAAATATTTTCACTTTTTCATCTAAATCTTTTCTTGCCCTTTCCTTGGTTTTCTTGTATAATTGCACAGCAGCGTGAGCCAATTCCATCAAGTGGTTGCTAATTTTTTGCCTTAAAGCTTGATTATCCGTAATAGCGAACATCCTGTAAAGTACAGAGTACTCTAGAAGATCCATATATTCTTCTTTTCTACTACCCTGGGATGAATCGGCTTGTTCAGTTTCACTTCCCGTTGCCGAATTTGGACCGGAAGTTCCCCCACGATCGGAAGCTTGTTCATTTACGACTTTTTGCCAATCCTTAGGAAGTGGCAGTAGAATTTCCACAGAAAAAAATGATTTTCCTCTCGTTCACTTCAGCTGAATAACGAATTTCTGGTCGGCTGATCGCAATGTGCCTCTTGAAATTCAAAGAACATCTAGTGGGTTCGTCAGACATGTGTGAAAAATTGTGTAACAAATGTAGCGTAACGAAATGCAACAAGGTTAAAAATACGAGGTTACTTATGAATACTAGGGGAGGCTACTAAGCTACCCTAGAGATTCTGGGAAGCAAAATGGTGGACGATTCGCATTGAAAAGAGTGGTTTTGCGCCTCCGAAACATGGTTTATTGCCAATCACCTGAGGAGTTTAAAATTCTACTTTCCCTCGCATCGAATTTCACCAAGTTTTGGCCGCTTTTCATCGTCTTTTGGAATCGGTTTAACATCGTGGAATGATTTTAATTTTGCATTACAAAAGAGGTTTCGGATGAAAACAAAGCATCGAGATTTTTGAAAAGGTACCAGTATCTTCATGCTGGCTTCGAAAACTAAAGGACTTTCTAACACTTTTATCAACTTTGCGTCACGTAAAGGAGGACAAATGGTGGATTTTAAGTTTTATGGTGTTCAGAAAAGATCGAATTGGGAATCGATTTAACCACAACGAAAAGTCAAATGGTTCATTTTAAAGGTAAAGGGTATGTCAAACCGCAATTTATGATATTTAAAGTTAATTTGCTGCTGTTATTGTGATGTTTCGACAAGCAATAAAGTAAGGTAACGGTACTCCTTACTCATTTCTTTGTAATTTGTCTTATATCATGTTTGTAATCTAAGACTGGATGTGGCGCTCACGCGCGTGCTTGGCCATGAGGCTGTAGATGATCATGTACTCTAAACCTGATCGAACGCGGGTTTTGCGGTTTCAGGCGATAAACTTTCGCTGAATACGAGCTGCGTTTTATCATAGCTAGTTAAAGAAGAATTATAGCTAAAAATTGAGTTAATTTCTTTCGAAAGCCAAGGCGACGAAATTCTCGATTTCAGGCGTTATTCGTGCTAATTGTGTCTTACCTTTGAGAAATATTTTCTTAAAGCTTGTATTTTCGCGCTTTCTCTGCTTTCAAACCGTGGGCACCGATTTTAAATCAGCAATCTTCCAAATGAGCCCGTGACTTATGATATGGGGAGCATAACATTTACTTACTTTCTAGACGAGTGGGAGTAAAGATAGAAAATAGGTATCATGCGGTAATTTCAGCGACTAATTGACTATCCTATGGTCGTGGTCATTTCGTAATAACATAATAAATCATGTTATGTTCTAATTAAGCTCGATACACACCAAAATATGTAAGTTATAAAAAATCGACTTCACTGTCTTTCCTGATGCATCTCTGTAATGTCTGTACTACAAGATGGAGGCAGATTATCCACAGCGAAACGAGGACACGTTCTCATTACTCGATCGTCCACTATGCCTGAGAGTTGCACTAGTAAAGGCAACCCAGTTACAATAACCATAATCTCTCTCAGGGCTACTGGACTGTATTTTTGGAACAATATCTTACTATGGCTGAAAAGAAAGAGGCACAATTCTTCGCCTAACGCATTCTTACCAAAATTCAAATCTGAATCGAGTTGCCGCAATTCTCAACCATAAATTACAGAGGGTAATGGGGAGTGGACTGGCTGCCTCATTTAAAATTTCCATATCATGGGCTTACCTAAGTGAACGTTTCTCAGACATAAAATGACATCAGAACTCTCTGTCCGCTGTTACCCAGATTAATTTTGTAGATGATCTCTCTTAGTTAACTGTTGCTCTCACATTGTCTATGTTTGTTTGTTTGTTTGTTTGCTCCAATGAAATGAAAGGTTTGTTTGGGAAAGGGTTTATTTTACGTGAAAATTAAGCACATTTCGTCATTGGTATCAGAATGGTTATTAAGATGCTTGGGGAACAAGTCAAGAGTTGAAAAGTCCTTCACTACCGATGACGTAGAGACAACATATGAAGAGCTTAACAACACGGGGAGGTATATCGCAACGATATCATGGACACCTTTTGATAGTAAGTGGAATACCAGCATTTTTCACGGTATCGAAGTAAACCTTGAGTCATTTTTTAGGTATAAAAGAGAGTTTAATATCAACTCATCGACATTGTAAATGCAACTCGATTTAATTTGGTGGATCTTATTTATGATTTAATTTTTGTTTGCGGATAGGAATAATAAAAAGGGGACGTTCTCTCGGACATTCAGAAAGATGACGTATCTTAATACCGTCTGTGATCTTAAACAAACTCTAGATTAGCCAAAATAATGAGGTTTCGCTGTCAGTTCATGCAATTTCTCCCCGATTACGATTACCGAGGGAGTGAGCACGTTGCGTGACGAAAACAAATAACGGCTGCTTAAGAGATTGGCGGAGCTGGAGATAAAATCAATAAAAAAAAGAGGCCAGCGATGCATTGTCGAATACCTGATAAGCGTCTCCTCATTTTTCGACCTCTACAACCCTTACAGAAATATCATGAACGGAAATGACGAGAAATTCAGGAGTAAGATTATAGTATTTGTTTCTTTCAGTTCAGTTGACTAATTGGACTGGATACGGAATAATATACGCAATTATAGATTTCACCAGCGATAACGATGCCAAAACCCATTGTCAAGAATTGGATAAGGTGAGGGCATGACGACTGAGTAGTAACGACGACGTAACGTAAATCATGTAGATCGATGACTTATTTTGCGTATGGGCACAGGGCTTATTGTGAGTGTAATACGTGTGAAGGGGAAGCAAGGAAAACACGCCCATGATGAAAAAATCGATAAACAAAATGCTGGGAGTCAGTACCTAGGATGAGACTTTGTCGAATTTAAAATTCTTTTACCGCTAACAAACTTTACAAGATAAGGTGGTTATCGAATAGTTTACCTCTCGGAAATACATTTGTATGGAAGAATAGCATCGGGCCGCCTTAATTTTGCGATCTTTTCTTTCTAGAACGCTACGAACATTACCATAACTAATTCTTCTTACGGAATGATGAATGATTCTTATCTTGTGCTTTACGTAAGTATCACAAATAATTGCTAATAGTTTTTAATTGTATAGTTGCTCAGGTGCTTTCGAATCCTTTTGCGAGTTGGTTTTGTCGATGAAACCATTCTTCTAATAGGGAAAGCTCTTTGCTTATTTGGTTCCAATTGGTTTGATAACTCATGCCGAAATAAGATTAGTTTCTGTTAGAATTTGACAGAAAAACTTGAAAGAGAAAGAATAAGATAAGGAAATAAAGAATCGTAAAATAATAATAATAATAATAATAATAATAATAATAATAAAAACGTACAATACTCGCCTTTTTATTTCAACCTAATTTCTTTCCCGACTAATCAGTTTTTTTGTGATTTTGTCCTTGGATTTAGACAAAGTACTTCACTATATGTATAGTCTTTGTCAAAAGGAGAAATCAATCGGATAAGAAATATAGCTCTTAACAAAACGAATATCAGCATCTTTGGACGTTTCATTCAAGTTTTTACTCCGTAAATGTTAGGAGAATCATTTCTTTCCTTAACACCCTAGATATATCCGTGAAGAAAATCGATGATAATCTTGTTTTTCAGATTACTTCTCTGCCATATCCTGTGCACATGTTCTATGACTTCCCAATCCGTAAGTTTTGTGAAAGCTCTGAGCCAAAAATGAGTCAATGAGCTTCTAATGGTTGTTTTGTATTTTGTTTATTCGCATTTGTTCACTGGTCTATTTGTTTATTTCTTCTGTTAATATTTACTTTTTCTTACATCTTTTTAGCTCAGTACAAACCAGTAAGATAATAACGAAAACTAGATTTTCTTTCAAAATTCGCGGCAGCGGTTTATATGCTTTTATAAAATATCAGGTAACAATTTAATATTGCACTTTCTCAGTGACGCACCACCTTAGTCCTTGTGGAATCGCTATAATTACAATCACTATTTGTGAGCAGAATCTGTGTTTAATACGCTACTGCGTTCTGAAAGCCAGCCTCTTTTTTAAGAAAGCATGATAGATTTACACATGTCTGAAACATTGTTCATTTTAAATACAGTTTGCGAAGTGCCAACACCATGCGTAGGGGAGTTAGGTGAGTTTTTAGAGGGAGAGCTGCTAGAGCAAAATTTCATCTACAGCGTCATCCTGAGTTCCAATTCCAAGCCTATACCATATGTGTCCCCGTTCTAGTGCATCATATTCATCCTCATACTCTTTTTAAATCAAACAGTTATCAAATTTATTGTAGAGAAAAGACTGTTATGTCCTCGACGTGGTCGTAAGGGTATAAGCCTTAATCCGTATTTAATAACCGCCAATCAGTGGCACAGTGATACCATTTATTGAATACTGTCTTTAGTTTCAAATGGTCTTTTCGGTTGGAAAAATCCTTCGATGACCTTTCAAGATAAGTTTCCAAAAATTTATCCTGCTTGGGTTCAGAGAAGGTTCCAGGAGGGAAAATTATGTTTGATTTTCAAAGCTCGCAAGGTGTTATTCCTGATACGTTCTTGAATCCTCTTCTCTTAACTACTTTTTAAGTAGTGCTTCAGTTTTGTGTTATTCTTAACAATAGGGTGGTAGCAGCCACGATGTCTAAAATATTCACACAATAAAGGGGCAATGTGTTGGAAGGTTTTTAGATTTGCAAATAATCTTAAGATAGTCAATGTACTATTTTTCTCATCTATCCTCCTTTGGGATCAATATCAGTCAATATCTGGGCAACTGTCCACTACCCCTTCAACGTAAAAACTTAATGAAACAGAGATTGATTATTATGTGGGCCTTTCAAGGGTCCTTTTTATAGTTCTATTTATATTAATAAGATATCACTTCACGGTTTAATGCGTCTTAATTTATAATCATCTATGCCACTATTTGTAATTTTGGTACTTATGATATATTCTATATTATATATGCCATAGGGAAACTTGTAATTTGCTTTTGATTTTTTCTCCTTTTTAGTCCAAACAACTCAGTCTACAGGTAAGTTCGAAAATATAAAGCTTTATCCCAAGTTTTAAAAGTCACTTTCATCGAAAAAAAAAAAACTCCACATTATAAGACAATTATAATCAGCGTTGTTACTACATATAATATTATTATTTATGATATGTTCTTTAAGAGAACTGTTCAAAATACCACTCCAGCTCCGACAGCCAGAGTGATTTCCTTCTGATTTTTTTTCTCTCTTTGTAGTCCACGCAACTCATTCTACAGGTAGGTTTGAAAATTTACAGCCTTAAACAAAGTTAGAATCAAGGAATTTTATTAAAATGTAGAAAGCCGAATGTAAACTGGACAGAAATATGCGAGGGGGATAAGCGGTGGGGCTTAATACATGGAGGACTATTCATAACTTCCCTTGCATTGGTTCACTTTCAACAAATTAGTGTGGAACAATGGGAGTATAGGAATATTGCCCCACCAGGTTGAAAACCTTATGTTAGCTAGCCTGATTCGCACCTGTTGGTTAGGGGCAGTTGGATCTAATTCCCTGTTTTTGTTGTCTGCTATACTTTATTTGAGATCTTATTTCATGACACCATTACTCTGTTGTGAATCAGGGACCAAACGTACGTATTCCCTGTAAGATATAGATCGTGGGAAGATATTGTTCACCACAATTTACCATTCTTTTCACTGAGTCGAGGACACCGAAATTTTTTGTCAGCCATGGGTGATTGTGAGGTGCTAGTCGGCAAGTTGTTTTTCTGATATTATGCAACCTCACCATAGTCTGCGTTATCCTATAAAAAAAACTTATATTTGGTACAGAGACAACTTTCTTGAAAAACCACAACATACGATCTCAAAGTTTGTCACTGGCAGTTTTGATTACTACCTGGGAATGGTTAAATTGTTTATTTTTCTCTTTTTTATCGCAAAAACAGTATATGCCTCATATGCAGTAAATATACACGATCATACAGCAATTGTTTTTTAGAAATATGCCTCATCTCTCTCTTACAGACAGTGATAAGAAAGGTACTGCCATTATTGCAGCTGTCCTCTCTACAATAGTTGCAATTGTTCTGATTGGCTTGATAGTTTTCTATTGTCGTCGTCGCCCTTTACCCCCAACGTTAGGTAAGTATCATTTTCAATAAGAATTAAGGTTAGTGAAGGTGGTTAATTATGTCATTTATTTACGTAACACAATTTTTCCTCTAAATCGGGTCTTAATTTAAAAACTTGTATTTGTGCGACTGATTTCTTGTTATTTCAAAATAGATGACATGAAGTGGTAATGAACGGAATGGAGCATAATTTTTGTCTGAAAATAATACTTGTGATTTCAAATAAAACTCAAGCTGCCCGCTCGTTCGATTTCGAAATCAAGGGTATTATTTCAGACCCTATACTACAAATGCAAAATTTAACCATGGTCATTAGCTGATAACACGTATAATCCCAAACAGTGTAGGAAGTTGAAATTTGGTGCAGAAACTTGAAATTGAATTGATTGACAGGTAAGTCGCGAAAACAAAACAAAACAAAATAGCGGAAAGATGAGGAGAGAGTAACAACGTTTTAATTCAGAGTTTGAGGGAGCATTCTAAAAACAGAAACACCCAACAAAGAAAAAACAACTGGCTATAGTATGGCTTCCAAGAACGGATTTGAAAGTATGAACCGGAGGCTCTGAATAAAAATTCTCTCGGAGTTTTAGGCAACAGTTCGTCGACGAAAGACGCAGAAGATCATGAGTGTGACAGTCTTCGTGTAATGTTACTGCCGTTGACCGATACCTAACAGAGAAAGAATGCAAACACTCAATTATTCTCGAGAGAGGTTTCAAAAGTTTGAAGCAAATTATTGACGAAAAAGCTCGAATATTCTGGCCACAAGGCAAAGGCAAGCGGCCGAACTGGCGGGCTATGACTCGAAATAAAGACAACCAAAAAGGAAAACAGAGTCATATCTTAGCTTGTATATTTAATAACTGGTAATCAGATTATTTTTATCTTGCAATTTCGGATAAATCAGCACTAATAAATTTATCAAAGACTAGAAATTGCCCTTGAAAAATTTACTCGTGCTGATTTATCCCAAATTCCACTCGAATTTTCTTATTACCTATGCAAATTACACTCGGATCAGTTTAATTACCATATTTTATCCCATGCGCTTTTTCTTGCAGATCTGGAATTTGAGTACGACGCGTTCATTATATTCAGTTCCGAGGACTCACAGTGGGTGATAAACACCCTAATTCCAACCTTGGAGGAAAACCATGGAATGAAGTGTTGTGTGCACTACCGAGACTTTACCCCCGGAGTAACTTTTAGGAAAAATATGGTGGATAGCGTTTACAAGTGCAAGAAAACCATCGCCGTTGTGTCCACTCACTTTTTCAACAGTAAGTATTGTGGGTCAGAACTGGATTACGCCCTTCATCGACTTATGGAAAAGAGAGATGATAGTTTAGTTGTCATCAAGATCGATGATGTTGACAGAAGGAAGCTTCCTAAGGAACTTCAAAAACGGAGTTACATCGACTACGCAAAGTCAGTTGAAAAGGAAAGCTGGGAAAAGAAGCTGGTTGATTGTTTAAGTTACAAATAGGTTTAATACAATATTAAGTTTAACTGCAATAACTTTGCAAAAGTGAACATACACGCTTTTCATTGTTTTCGTATCGTGCCTTATCTAATCAAAAGGGGGGGGGGGAAGTCAAAAATTCAGAAATTTGTCGTGGCTTCACATTAGTAGAAGTTAGGGATACCAAGTATTGAGAGAAATCAAAGTAATCGCGGGTTGAAATGTCGTGTCACGTTCACGCTCTTGCTCTGAATCACTGTAAGCCTTCTATTCTCTAACTGTGGTTATAGCCTTCACTTTGTGTTGCAGTAGCAATAATAAATTTTTATTCTTGTCATTCAGATTTTTTTTCTCTGTTTTATACGAAAACACGTTTTACACGTCTTTGTTTTATACGAAAACACCTCACTATTCTAATCTCTTGATATGAATGCGTGACTACCGTAGCACGACCTTGGCCATCGCGAGAAATTTGCACGAGCATCTATCGACCTTGCTTTTCCTTTCAAGGGCCACGCTCAAACAGCATTGCGGAGGTAGTGGCCTTAGAGAGTATTTTTTGTATCACAGAAAAGGAAATCTTACCGTGTTTGTAGCACTATTCGACTAAATCTTTGAAATCTTGATCGAGAACCGGCTTTTTATACACTCATCTAATGTCTATCGTCCATTTACTAAGTATTTTTGACGTTTCATTCACTCCCAGAGAAATCAAATTTAAAGATAAATTTCTTCAAAATTTCATCTTGGTATCGTCTATTCTTTAAACATGACGAATTTATACCTAGAAGGTGATGCGCTTCTCTTTTTACGGATTCCTTCTTTGCACTTGCAAATGATACGAATAAAAATTCAGGTATTCGAAGGTCCTTGTCTCTTTTTTATACCTTTTGGCCGGTCAAGGGTCGATTCTTGTTAAACCTCTCGCTTTCGTACACTTTTGTGTCCAAGAATATAATTTCTGAGTCTGATATTTCAGCCGTGAATAGTGATTGTATCGTGGTACAACGAACAACAACTCAGTTTTTTAATTTTTTCGTTCACTCTAAATAAACAGTTTTGCTGCTTATCTCATGGTTTGCACTTTTAATACATGGTAGAGAAAGCTGTTAATTAAGTTTTGTTCACCCTAAAAGAACAGCTCAGTTTTGTTGCTTATCGTATGGTTTGCACTTACGACATATCATAGTAGGGGAAGAGACTTTACAACTCATTCCTGCACATTTGCATAGCATTTTGCGAATTTCTTTACCATTGGCATTCTTAAAATCTTCTACAATTTCTTCATATCCGCATCTCAGGGCTCGTTTCTCGATCATTCCAAAATGATCATGTTTTGCGTCGTCTTGTTTTGAAAAGACTTCAAGGTAATTATCCTCCACAGGCACTCGTTTTTCTTTTTCATCCCATTTGACCTTTTTTCTGCCATGTTTTGATCCACGTAGTGTGATGCCGTGTAAGGATGAGAACGTCAGGAAGAAGACGAGGAGCACTTTCGAAACACGAATCTGCGATACGCAAAAAAATATAGTGGTCTAATTGGAAACATACCACAAAACAATTCCAAGAGATTCTTAGTTACACACCCAGACCAAGCACGAAAACAGTTAGCGATGAATGATAATAATAATGATCAGCAATTTAGATTTCGTCATACCATGTTCTACACAGTGTAATTTAATAGTTCCAAGGGTTCCGCTCAACTGTGCTCTAAACTACAGTTGTGCGTGGCTGCATGTTGGATTTAATCTATTTAAAAATCGAATACCGCGTCCTAATCAACTCATCAAATGTTACGAGTGAGTTTCGAAGGTCAATTTACTACACTAAATAGGAACACATCATATTATCATTTGAGTAGTTCTACAGCCACGATACCAACCAGATGAGAATGAACGCTGACTTGCTAAGGGTTTGCTTCTATTTCGCCTGTTACCTACTATGGTTTATTTATCTACGTGTAAATTAGTTTTCAGTCAATTGATAATTGACTCTTTCATTATATGAATTTTACTTCAGGTCAGGCGGTAAATAGCTTCCTTCCGTTGTACGTTTAATGCTAACAAGATTATATAGTAGCTATTATATATTATTGTTAACACGCAACCAATTCAATAAAGTCGGGAGGGTGTTAATACCAAATGAAGGGCATACCTGTACACAAATATCGGGCTGCCATTCGTAAGGACCATTAATTAATTTTGTCATTGATTCAATTTTACAAGGCTTGAGTACAAAATGAAATAACCAACATTAATGTGCGAAGTAAGTCTACGAAGAAGCTTTAGGAAACTGTTTTTAATATTTTGAATTTTTTAATTTGTACTTTATCACTTATGCTTATAAAGGACGCAACAAGGGATGGAAAAGAAAAATTAAAAGTCATATTCTATGTCTTTATATTATGTGACTTACAGGCTATAGCTTGCACACACTCGAAAAAGTTGTCAGAAAATGAGCGGCTAGGCTGATATTTGGTTTTAGCATCATTAGCAGGCAACAGTAGAAAAATATAATGAGTTCTTGACGTGTTTCAGCATCCACGGCATATACAAGTATGCTGAGCACAGTAGAATGAGAAAAATCTTATTTATCTCGTTACTTTTTCTTGATCAATTCTGAGTGAATTGGAATCAACGTCTCTGTTGGGAGTTTAATCGTTAAAAAATTTTATCTTTCGTTAGCTGATTCAATTTTTGACTCCACCCCTTGATCAAATCAAATTCTTTGATTTTTCTCTGTTTGAGGTAATTTACAACGTAATTGGCAAATTGCAATTAAATTTCAGGAAAAGTTCAAAGTTTCACCATTACCACAATAAATTTATCAAATATCAAATTCAAGGAAGGCTAAATAGGATGTTTCCTATCTCACCAGAATAGTAGACCAAACGATAAACTATTATTAAAACATGATGAATAAATAAAGAATAGGAGATGCTTACACAGAAGTGCAAGTTATTTATTCATCATACTTATAGCTATGAAATAACTTATGAAAGTGGTTGTCCTTTCGACATCCATACCAAAACTTTGGACTCCTTTTGCTTTTTATATTAGTCTTTGGGTCAATAATGTCTTATACATGTACGTGCAGATATCGATGAACTGGCTGATGATCAATGATATTCAGTACAATCAGAATTAAAGCGATGAAATTTGTCTTTTGAATATTGATAAGTCAAAGTTTTCCGTTAACACCACGATTTCGTTAGGTATAGATCATCGATTTCCATCGATTGGGTATTCATTATATTTCGCACTTCCTCGCATTCGACACCTTTACAATTTGACAAGAGCGTCCACCAAATGTCGAACTCTCATTTTAACTATCACTAAAAGGCCAAAAAACAAAAATGAAATTACAATAGAACTAAATAAACAGGACTATTATTGCTGCGTGGAGGCCAGAATATAGGAACTTTCTCTGTTCAACAAGTGGTAAATAATGTAGCTAAATGTGAAATACTTAAAAGATAATTAGCCAGAGATTAACTGCCAATAAAAAGAGAATTCTACAGCATAAACCACTGATGCAAAAAAAAAAAAAAAAAAAAAAAAAAAAAAAAAGAAAGGGAGAGAGAGGGAGAGAGAGGGAAAGAGAGAGGGAGCGGAACGTACCTCAGGAAAATGACTCATTTCGCTTTTGATTCAACTTCCTCCAGTTCGAGTCAGATGATGTGCTCAGATTGGCTATAGACAACCTTAGCTAGCCCAGCACGTACGTGCAGTATAAGTACTGATCCGAAGTCTGAAGTTTTCCGAGAATAGCATGCAGCGTTATCTCTGTCTTTTATGTTTACCTCCAAAATTGGGCTGAAAGTAAAAAAAAATGACCGATACAAAAATTATCCTGTAAAACTGATTTAAATCAAATTAAAATTGGCTAATTTGGCGGGGGAAACTCCGCTTTCCTAAATAATACTTAACATCTTCGTCCTTGTCTTTCACTGATCAATTCGATTCACTTGTGCCCCATTGCGTTTACAGTGCTTAGGGTTAGGAAATCGTTTGGTAATTGATCGATAATTATATATCTTTTTCTAATATTTTGAGAAAAACAAAAATAAATCTGCCATTTAAGAACAAAGTTTGAAGCATTAAGCAACTTTTTGTTTTACGTAACTATTACGTCATACTGTCAACCTTATCCCAGCTTCAATTCTGCTTTTTGCTATTTTTATTCCCTTGGTTTTAGTTCTGCTTTTTATATCTTGAAACGCTTTCCGTTATTCCCCCTTGATGCTCTTCCAACTTATTTTAAGCCGTTGCGGTTTAAACTACAACTTACCAACGCCCGAGTGTATCGAGGTATCTTTAGGGGTTTGGCAGTGTTTTGAAAACGTGCCTCCAGACTGTTATTTCTCGTAAAATATTTTAAAAATAAACAGTTTCTGACGATAATTTTTATGCTTTAGTGGAGGAAATGACTTTTAGAGCTCATTTGTATTCATAAAGCGTTAGATTTTGAAATGCATACCTTTGAATTATTTATAGAAAATTATTTATAAAAAAAAAATTTTACCTTGAGCTAAAAATCCTAAAAAAAAATTCAGCTTTGAGAGGTGTTGAGTACAACTATATCTTCTATTTTAGGAGTAGGAGCAACACTTTGCGCCTTATTTTTAGCTGTTTGTTGCGCTCGATTAACGAAGAAATTAATTTTGATGAAACGGTGAACAGGAACTTTCGTTATTTATAACCATCATTTTGGTTGCCACTTCGGGTGGGCTTCAGCGGTTTGAAATGGAAATCATTCGGAAATATGACTTTGTATGTATTAGAAAGCAAACCGTCCCTGAGTGATTTTTGAACATTAAGTCAGTTTCAGCTTCTGTTTGCTGTGGTAGTTGGTTCGCAATCTCCTGTTGAATTTTGTTTGAGTTAAGTTACTCTGCACAAACTTCCGTTTCGACTTGAACGATATTTCAATGTTTGATCGAAGTCATGAAATTTACTGGCTCAATTGTCTTGAAAACACATTTATAATTTATTTTCTGATGAATAATGACAATGTTTTGCTAAGGCTTAGAAAAGTGTTGTCCTCATTCATCAGACATCAGACAACAAATTATAAATAAGTTTTCGAGACAGTTAAGCCGGTAAATTTCATGAGAGCATTAACAGGCCTAAAAGTCTCTTACTATTTGGGCGTAAAAGTATAGGAAGTGCCTACACACACAACCCTTTTGCTTTTACGAGGGCTTCTACTCGAAACGTCAGCTTTGAAATTCCTAACGGTAGCCAATTTACGTTATCAACTCAGTTGATAATGATGAATTACTCTGTTACATTCTTCCACCGACGCAGCACAACAGTTTATTTAGAAACTTACACCCTTTATTCACATATCAAAATTTGCCGAGGAATTAAAAAAAGGGTCTTTTTGTCTCTTGATCAGTGAGAGTGTTATTATGTAGGAAGGTATATGCTGAAAGGAAAATAAGGAAATAAGGATACTAGCCAAATGGAGACGTGTTCACTATATTTATCATGAATATAGAAAACAGGAAATATAACAAAATTCAATTCTTCTTCCTCTGCGCGGTCATCTGAATCTGCTCTCAAGGAGCAGTTGACCATATAGAATGGAAAAAGCATTGTACTTGACCATAATGCTAGATAAAAAAAACATGGAATTCCCACTCACAAAAACAACTCGCGTGGTAGGGCTTGGAACTTAGTCTCAGGGCTAAGGGAGAAACTTAATTTTAACTGCTTGATTATCTTGTTGAAGCAAGAATTTAAACTTTTCACGGGATTATACCATTCGAAAGCGATAATATGGAGATTTAACCAAGCCCAGCAGAGCTACAAATGTCTTTTTCCTCAAACGTTTGATGAATATAGTTAAGCCCTGTGTACTGAGTCCTAACATCTCCACTTATGGCAATGTTTGATTCACCACTCATCCTTGGAATAATTTCAAATTATAAATAATTTTCAGCTTTATTCATGTCAGCTATAAATCTCGTCACGCAGTAAAGATTTGAGTGGAATGCAAATTGTATGCCGGAAAATCGGCATTTGGTTTTTCATCTTTCAAACCCATGAAGAAGAACGCGAGCAACTGAATGACTACGCTAATCGTGAGTGTATCGATCGAATAAGCTTAGAAGAAATAATTAGACGTTTGTTAAAAAGTAGGTGATTTGGACCGAAAGGTTTTCGATGAAAAATCGACCATAAGATGACTGAAAACAAAAGATATTATTCCATTTTAAAGTGATTGCCAGAGACAAGTTGACCCAATAACTCTTAGTAGTCTTTTTTTTCCACATCTCCGACGCTTAAATAATGAGACACTGTCAGAGCCAATATTCTCTATTAGTTATTCGATGAACACGGCACTCAAATCTCAAATTGAATTGCTGAGAGGTAATGAACCAAAAAAAAAAAATGGAAAATCGACGTAAATAAAAGAATCCGAAATTATTTTACTGACTGGAAGTCGAGTTATTACCCTAAGCTTTTTGTGATAACTTTTTATTATTGACAACTGGATGATGATAATGGCACACTGTTGTCCCGAGAGTTAATTAAACTGGTGGAGGGGGAAAATTTTCCCCCGCTTTGAGGGCACTGCTTGACAGCTAATTGTATATCTTTATATACTATGTGAATCTTTTTTCATAGTTTGGTTTGGGAACCGAGGGAACCGGTGCATTTGACCAGCTTGCTGTGATGTTATAAGGGTCGGCCCCATTTAAGATACAGAGGGCATAAACGTTAATAATAAGCCTGGTCTTAACATCCGTTAATGAAACCAAGCAGCAGATTCAAGTCTGACCATAACAGAATGACACAGCTGCATTTATTGTTATCAACAACTAATCTGGTAATTTTTTTGGTAAATTTTTTTAACAGTTTGGTTTGAAAACCAAGGGAACCGGTGTATTTGACCAACTTACCTGTAATAAATTGGTTTAGGGGCCCCATGAAAATTATAAAGAAGGTATGATAAATTTTCCAAGCAAATTGGCAGAAGAAGCACCTTCTTAAAATGATCACTGGCAGCGGGAAAAGGCGGCAGTCCTCTCCGATCATATCTTAGACAGGAACTCAGTTCCACAACCCTCTGACAGAAAACTCTTCATTTAAGATGAGCTGAGGTTGTCGCAGGGTCAGGGAAGAACTTTTCCACAGGAATTCGAAATTAATTTCCTTTTTTTCCAGTTTGCTTTGCAATTACGACAACAGCGCTTTGACTCCCAACTATAGTGCCAAATACGGAACTTATACTGACCGCGTGTAGTAAATTCAATGATGGATAAAGAGACAATGAGGAAAATTGTCGATTTCGAAGTTTGCCATGCTATCTTTAAAGCAGAGTACAAGTTCACAGGCAATGGAGAAACGTGGTTTTAAGTCTTTGTCTTGACCACCTTCTCCTGTTGTAAATGATCGTTGGCAGCAGGAAAAGGCGGCAGTCCTCTCCGATCTCTTAGACAGGAACTCAGTCACTCTCCTCGGGAAGTGACTCCCCAGGCTATAGTGCCAAATACGGCGCACAAGTAAATGGAGAAACGTGGTTTTAAGCTTTGTCTTGACCGCGCACTAAATAGTGGTATTCCTGTAGGAGTTGTAGGTACTGGTAGGCACACCGATATCGAAGCACTCATGAAAAGCGAGTACAAGGACCTCGGTGTTGAGCACCAGGTAGAAGTGTGGCACTTGACTAAGAACATCAAGTCCAAGCTCTCTCCTTGGATAAAATCCGTGACAAACCATATGTGGTGGTCTGCGATGACGTGTGACAGAAATCCCCAGCTCCTCAAAGAGAAGTGAGTCAGCATCCTCCACCACACGGTTGACAAACACGATTGGGATTCGTCTGTGCTGTACAATTGTTGTGCACACGAGCCCATTTCCCCAAGGGCACATCGTAAAACAAAATGGCTAATTGTAGGTTCCCCGGCACACGAAGCGTTAAAACATGTAGTGCTAGAGAAGACACTTCTAAAGGATTTGGACCTTCTAACGAAGACCTTCCACACAGGGGACTTGGAAGTGTACCATTCACTCTACAACAAATACGCGCCCAAGCGGCAACATTTTGGATACCTGGGAATGGTAGCACGTACACAGCTAACTGCTTTAGACCACAATTCGGGCACTGGTCGATCTCAAGCAGAGGCTTCGAGTGGGGGGGAAACGATTATGTTTATCCTAAGGGGATGAAGGATTGTGTTGTAAGGCCTGTTTTCGAAGAAAAGACCAAGCCGCACGTCACGGAAATGCTATACTCAGTGTTGGAGATGAGAGACACAGGAGAAGAGCCAGAGCAAGTTCAAGTCCCTGATCTCCCAAAAATCATCGCACCCATTCCACGCCCTCCTAAAGAGGACCTTCTCGCACGGCATGTATCCAGGTTTGGAAAAAAATTAAGCAAGTGTAAAAAAAAGAAATACAAAAATTGAATAGTCCGCCTAAAATGCCACTGGCATTTACAGTGTTAGTTTTCTATTTTTGGAACCGACTGTTAAAGGTATTTTAATGATTGGAACTGGAGCCGATACCCCTAGAGCGCCGTAGATAGACTGTGGACCTCCTTGAGTGTTTAGTAAAAACAAAGACGAGTTTATTGATTAAACGTGACTATCCCGGCCATGAGTCATTGTCCTCGGCATCTCTAAAGC